CGAGGGGTCAAAAGGAGGCCTCGGTACGGGTTCTGCAAGGAGTGAAGTGTTAGAGGCCTCGGGTGAGTACTCGAGGCAAAGACTCCGACAGTCAAGTTTGTATGCATGTAAAGTGATCTAGAGGTTTAGAGCCAAAGGGTCCAGACGAGGTCTCAGATAGCACTTAGGTTCTCCAGGGAGAAGTAATGCTTAGAGATTGCTCAACCGTATAGGGGCCTGGTAAGATCTTCTACCAGAAGCACACGACGCCCTGTGACTAGGTCCGTCCGGTCTGCGCCTGATAGCCTTGATTGTCCCCATGGTACGCTCAGGCTGGCGACCTCCAGTTTGACACGCATCAGCCTCGTACAGGCCAGCCAAATGCGCCTACATCAGTTTGTCTTATACTCTCAATTACACGGGTAATTTAAAATTTTTTAATTTCATCTATATGTGTTAATTTGATTATGGTGTTCTAAATTTTGACGAARCATTGATTAYAGAGCACARARGGGATTTAGATCTTGCTTGAAAAGTAGAAAAGATGCTCGAAGCATAGAGGGGATTTAGATCTTCATTACTGCCTACAAAGATCCTTGATTACAGACCACTTAATCTCCAAAAATTGTAAGGATTGATTAAGGCCATGGGTATGCGATGGATATGGCAAACAAAAGACAGTGAAACAAACTTGAGAGGGAGAAGGCTGGCAGATTTGGTTCTTAGTTCTCAGAAGAAATGAACAGTGTTTTGGAGGGTATTTTAATAAATTCATATCTAAATAGAAARACATAAGGGCAAAATAGGCATTTAAGGAAACAAGCACATTAAATCGACTTTTCAACCGAGGAAGGGAGGTAGTTGCATGTTTTCTAAAAAGTATAGGGGAGGTTTCTATTAAAATGAAAACACAAGGAAGGTTTTTATGATTGTTCAGGGAGGATTTTGTATTTTATCCAAAAAAATAAAAGATACATCAATTAAAACTTGAAAGTACCAATACAGCTCTATTGATACACAGAAATGTACGATTCTTTGACGCTTTCTCTAGTTCTGGAGTTCTTGTTCACTGTTGCTATCTGTGTTAAGCTATGAAATACTTTTGATCTTACAATAGCATTTTTGTATGTATTGATTTGTTACTTTATTCTGTATTTTAGGTTGTTCTCTTCTGTATTTCTGTCTTTACACACACTCTCTCTCTTTTATCCTAGTTTATGCTCTTTTGCTTGCTTGGTCAGATTATCCCTCCAACTCTGAAGAAATCCAGTAACCCGATTAATTTGATGAATTCGAAATTTATTAGGTGTCTTATGAATCCGACTCGATTTCGGATTGAATTTCAGATGTTATAGGCAATTAAATCAAATAATTAAAACGCAGATAGAGGTAAATCCCATCCGATCGATTACAGCCAAAGAATGGTATGGGACTGACAGGGTTAATGACATATTTACATCGGTGTGGGGTATAGGAGTAATTTGCTTTAGATAGAAAGACAGATAAAGGAGTGAATGGGCTGATGGGTCATGCCCAACAATGATTCCAAGTTCCGACAGCCAAAATTTTATTCTTGTGGTTTTTCGCTTTATAAAATGGCTTCTACTGGAACAGCCATTACGATGTTTGGTGAAAACGCCAATGCTTCCACAACTTTCCACTGAAACTTTTGTCAATGATTTCTCCAAAATATCAACTTTGCAGGGCGGTGAGCTTGAGGACACTGTAGCTTGGTTTGAGTTTTCCTATCCTTTTTTTTCCGTATTCTACTGTATTATTATTATTATTATTATTATTAACGATAGTAATATTAATATTATTAATAATAATGATAGTAATATTAATAGGAATATTTTGGGCCAGTCAATTTGAAGAAATTAAAGTTTCTCAACCGAAGACCGCATAACTTTTTCACGCCTAATCACAACTGAGCATTACATTCCTCAACTTTGGAACTAGGGGAGTGGTGTTCAAGTTATGGTTGAGCTGGCCAAGGATGCTACATGGCAACCTCCACACCCATCCTCTTTCTCTCAAGCCACGTCGGCACCACATGTGACGGAAGAGCACAACTAAGAAGGAGTGTCCCACACGAACAAGGAAGCAAACTCTGCCGGGGAAGAGGAAACATCCCAAAGACCTCGACGGACGACCTCATCCTGACAACCTCAGAAGCCCTGTCCATCTAGAACATGAACACCTAAGTATAAATAGATATTCCCCGCTCGAGCTAAGGGACCTTTTGAGGAACACTCTTTGAATATCCCTACACTATCTCTTCGGCTCAGACCAATATTATATTAACCTGCTCGACTCGACCACCTCTTTCTCTGCCCAATTAACTTTAGTATCAAGACCTTTCTTCTGATTGTAGATCTCAGTGCGCAATTTCGTCCTTCCACCTTGGTCTCGTCCAATTGGTAGGATTATCTGATTATGTCCTCGGTTTGAAACAACACGGATTGAACAACATCAAGATGCAAATGAAGGAGGCTTAAATGGTAACATCAAATTAAAACTGGCAAAAATTTGATCCAACCTGCTAATTTGACTCAACTTGACTTGAAAATATAAGGTTGGGGTTATGTATCTGGTTGATTACTTGAATTTGAGAATTATCCAACCTAACCCATCTAGGGGTGCTAACGATATTTGAAACTCTGATTTCAAATTCAAAATTTGACATAATCGAATTGGATTCAAATAATTCAAATATATAATCAGTCGAATTTGGATATCCTATTCATATCAAATAATTAATTGGATTCGAATTCGAATATCACTTAATTCGATTCGATAAATATCCGAATTCAACTAATTATTTAATTTTTATATATAATATATAAAATATTTAAAATTTTTCTATAATTTATATATAATAATTAAATTATATAAATAATTTATATATTTATATAAATAAGATATTTATTAATTACCTAAAATAATTAAATAGTTGAATTCGAATCGAATCGAAATTGATAGGTAAACACAAAATGACACAACAAAATTCAATTTTGAAATGATACATTCCATTTCCATGTGATGCACATTTTCTAGTCAGGATTTGAGTTGAAAGGCCCACCATGCATGAAATCGACTAGATGGTGGGGTCTCCAAGTTGGGGCAATATCTGCATTAAATGCCCTGTTTCTTAATAAACTAAACGTTGATTTTTTTCACACCTACAATCATTTCTCTATTTATGTTAAAGAGAGGAATATGAGTAGAAGATATCAAGTGAAGGGTCCTGGTTATTTATTTTTAAATTAAATTATTAAAAATAAAATAAATTGTAATAAAAACCTTTTCTGAATTGATTTTATAGAATACAAGTTTTTATACTAGGTTTGGTTGGGTTCAGGTCTACCCTAACCCAACCCAAGCTCTTGAACCCCAACTCTAACCCAAATCTTTAGGGGTTTGATTCAGATTGGCCCTATTTCTCTATTTCATTTTGCCAAACGTTCTTATTTCCTAAACTCAGGGGATCAAATTAACTCAACTTTATATGTACTATGTATAAAAGTACATGATTATCATGTTTTAATATATATATATATAGATGCAAAACGGGTCCTAAGGCCCACAGACCAGCTCGCTAGATACAGTAACATGTGCCTAGCACAACATAATACAGCCTGGCCTGTGGCCCAATGTCCATTACCAACGATTATATAGTCGTTTTTAGAAGGTTAAATGTCAATATTACCCCGAACAATTATAAATAGCTATTTTGGGGTATGTGTATATAGGGGGTGCATAAAATGACTTAAATGACCCCAATAATTTCGGGGGCATTTTAAGTATGTGATAATAAAATTTTCAAATGACCAAAATGCCCCTCTAACAACTATAACCAACTAGTTTCTGAGGGGTATTTTGGTCAATTCAATTATTTTCAACTTTTATAAATACCCTAACCCTTACCCATTTTCATCACAACAACAACCTCTCTTATGCTCTTGTACTTTTAATTTTTTTTTTAATTTTTCTTAAATTTCAACAAAGAGGCTTAGTGTCTCAAGGTGAAGACTTGAAGTTGGCAATTTTAGAGGCTTAAAGGTTTTGCATTCAAGTTGAAATACTAAACTAGTAGGCTGGAGATGGATTCTAAAGTGTGATTATTGGGTAAGATGGATATTTTATACATTCTACAAAAGCTGGACTTGTACTTTCAATCCTTTGGCTGGGCCTAGGTCCAAAAGTTTTTTTTTTCTTTTTTTTTTTTATCTGGCTAGGCCCAGACCTAGTCCTAGGTAGCTCAAACCTAAACCGACTAAGTACGTACCTATATGCATATATAAACACATATTTGCATGCATGCATACGTTCATATATATACATATACATTTTTATATATATCAAATTTTAGTACACACTGATTGACCAACCCGAGCCTAGCTCATGCTTGAGATTAATCCAAATGCATCAAATTTCAGTGTAGGCTGAGCCCAGGTTGGACAATTCGGGTTTGACCTTAGGCATAGGCCAGGTTTGGGCGTTAGGCCTAATTCTTAGGGTTGGGCTAGCTTAAGCTAGGTCAAACCTGACCCACCCTGCCTAACTTGCACCCCTACATTTGAGTTGGTGTTGGGATAGCCAAATTACCCCTCTGTGAGTTTTCACTTTAGTCTCAGTTTGGAAAGAGTACAAATACAAATATATATAGTACAAATACATACAAAATAATATAAAATATAAGGTTTTGTACTCTACAAATTTGTATTTATACTTCTTCCAAACTAGGCCTTGGACAAAAAAAAAAAGGAAAAGAATTCAAGGATTTATTATTTAATTAAGCCAACAGAGAAATGAATGTGATGGCCTCTGCTGAGGTACTGGAAGATACAAGCAAATAAATTTTTTGCTTCTTGATCAAGATACACAGAAGAAAAACCGATTACACTCTTGAAGCCAGAGTTTTTGTACTTAAAAATAAAATAAAAATACAAGAACAGAAATGAAAGAAGAATGGAAACAGAAAAAACCCTAATATTTGTATGTATTTATAGTAAAGAGATTTATCGTATATATAGTTGCTGTAGTGAATGTTGCAAAGTTGAATAGATTGCATGCCAACCTTCATGTGAAGGGTGGACATCATCCCAAAAGAATGCAGATTCAGGATTTTCACATACTATATACTTAGGCACGCCATTTTCATCTTTATCTCCACATAAGTCTTTTCTGGTTAAACCCACGCAGCATGGCTTCAATGGATTACCAAACTTCAAGCTTCCTGTTCAGGGCACCAAATGTTCTATTGTTACTACTTGGCCAACAAATAGAGGGAAAAAGTCCTGAATTACTACAGAAAGTGACCAACAAATTGGAAAATATGAGAGCCTAACATAACAAGCTATATAATCAAACGATGGGTTGAGTATAATCATGGAAGAGTACTTCTTAAACTTTGAATAAATTCATTATAGGAAACAAAACCATCACTTCGAATTTTCTCTGCCCAAAGCTCAAAAACTTATGTCTTTACTTTCAAAACTAAAGACATATAATTAATCATTCAAATTAGTATTAATTTCTACTCAAAGTAGAGAAATCACCTGGATGTTCTTTCTGTCTCTCAAATATGGAGATGAATGCGTTATAGAGATCAAGAATCATGAATGTGGATTCACTGGTCTCGTTGTTCAATTTCTCCACAGCTTGCTGTAATAAGAGGTTATGGAAGATCGATATCTTGTTATAGGTTTCATTGCATTGTTGATAAGAAGACAAGACTGAGATTACAGGAAGACATCCAATAGGCTCAATAGCTGTAACTGCAACTTTCTTCACTCCCATGTCATGAATGCGCTTCATATTTATAACTAGTTGACTGATGATGGATGCAGTGAAGTTCGACAAACCCTGCCATTAATGGGGTAATTAAAAAAGAGAGGTCTAGATGTCAATAAGCATATTTTCCTTTTTCTTCTTTGATCGTGATTTCAGATTAACATGAAATAGAAATCAATTAATATAAACTTCATTTAAATCTCAAAAAACATACTTATTGCATTAGTTCCTAAACAATTAAAGTTGGATTTGGATAAACTTCGGGATTAGTGCTTTCAAAGGCAAAAGCACAAAGTTCTAATTTGAAGATTTGTGTTTAGGGATTAAATGTGATTTTGGCTTAGGCTCAGTTTGGAAGCAGTGCAAATATGTACAGCATAAATACATACAAAATATAAGGTTTTACATTATATATTTGCATCTGTACTCCTTTCAAATTCAGCCTTAGGAACGGCAACCGGGCAGGGAGCATACTCCCCATCCCCGATCCCAACTTTGAAATAAGTCTTCATTTTCATAAATTTCGACCCCTACCAAAGATGGGTTCTTTGTTGGGGACATAAATCTCTGAAAATCTTTTGATTAAATTTTTTAGAAAGTAGATTTTATTTAACATGAAAAAAAATTAAATATTATTTGAAATGAAAGTGGGGTGAGGACTTCACTCTCTATTTTCATCTCTATCCTTACCAAGACAATCTCCATCCCCGGCCACACCGAACGAGGAATGAAACCTGATACCCAATAGGAATGGGAAAATTGGCATTCCTATTTTGGCTTCAGATTGTTATGTTATTAAACAATAAACAATCTGTTGCCAAACACTCAAACCACTTTTATGACTCAATTTGGTTTCCTAAAATCCAAAGCTCAAAAGCAAAACCTTATCTAAAGGGAGCACTAATTAATTGAAGTTGGTTAATTAGAGAGATGGATCACCTCTGAGCTGACATTCTTGGCAAAATAAGTGATATAGTCGTTCCCAGCAAGTGCTACAAGAGCAGCAGATGAATTCAGGTCAAACTTGCTGTACACTCCATTTTGGRTGAGCTGTTGAAAAATGTCGATCTGTCTGGTCATGGTGACATTTGGGTCAGGAGGAACCACCGTATCAAACACACCAGTCCCTCCAAACGCAAAATTTATCCCATATCTGAGTCGGTTTGTCTTCTTCCATGCTACTGGTGTCTTGATTCCAAGAAAGGAAGCTGTATATATAATGTAGTAACTTTTAGAAAATATATACATAAATAGAAATTAAAAAAAATTGTTGAAAGACACTGCTGCCAATTGGTTGGGTCTGATCGGGGTCAGGGACTCAGGATAGACCCGGTTTGGCTTTAGTCAGGAAAGCAGTCTTTACTGCCTTGCATTGAGAATATTTTTATACTTGTATGTTTTATTTTATGAAAAGATATTTCTAATGCAAAGTTGCAAAATGATGTTAGAACGGTGTAGACACAAATTTACCCGGATAGAAGTCGATATCTAACATGCTATATTATCAAAAGAAGAAAAGCTTTAAGTTGTTATAATTATAAAGAATTATTGATTTTTAGTGTAATCGATCAGGTCTAATCGGTTCAGCTAGACTATCCTAATTAATAATAATCGGTTCAGAACTGGCCCATCATGTCTTGTTAATCATTTGTATAAGATAGATCTAGAATCAAACGAATTATTAATTGGAATAATTGGGTCTGACCTGATCATACTATTGGACATATCTAATTACATATAATAATAACAATTTAAAAGTTAAAACTTTATTTTTTATAATATAATTTTCATAAAAGTGACAGCAAAATAGTAAACAGTTTATATGTTCATAAAGATATTTTTAACTAAAATCATCTTATATATTGTCTATAAAATTTACCCTTTTAAGCGTAAAATATAATGAAAACTAAGAGACATTTATATATTATTAACTAAATAATTGATTTGGTTTTTAATAAGTCAGACTGCAAGACTCGATCGCAACTCAATTATTAATCAGCACAAAACCACAAACTAGAACCAACAATTAAGTTGGTTTGGTTCTATTGGATAACCCATTGGCAACTCTAAGATCTAGGGGTGCAAATGGATTGGATCGAATTCAAATCAGTGTATATCTGAATCCAATATTTCAATATGATCCGATAGCAATAGCACATATTTTATATTTGATCTGATTGAATCTCATAAATGGCAATTTAAATCCAAATCCATTAAGTATGTCGGATATTCGAATCTGATCTAATCCGATTTCAATTCTAAAAATTTTAATAAATTATTAAAAGAAAAAACAAAACAACTTATATAAACGAAAAGAAAGAATATAAGTAATTTTTTCAACTATTATTTCATCAAATATATTAATATATACATATCTTTTATGAATAAATATGTTTTATTTATATATGTGCTTATATATATATAGGGTGATTCCAATTTAATCTGATTTTCAATTAGATTCCATTATATTATCCGACACAAAAATCCAACAAAAGATTATCTGAATCCGACAAAAATAAGACCGGGCCATTTGCACTCCTACTAAGATCTAACTTTTACTTTTGTAATTATTTGATAATGCACATTGGTTATAAATCTTATCCAATGGACCTTTTAAGTTGCAATGTCGCTGCATGGATATTAGATGAGCTTAACATCAAAACAGTTCTCATTGAATAAAAAATACCCAATCCTGTTTTCCTCAATTTATTTGTAATTATCAATTGATTTGCATGCAAAATTTGTACTTCTTATCTTATTTGATGCAATTTTTACATCCTTTAATGCAAAATTTACACTACCTTCCTCCTAGGCCCCAACCTGAATTCTTGGAGGAATTGGAGGAATCCTCTTGTCTTGGGTTCAATTAGATGAAGTGTCATAAGGTGGGGCCACAACAATGCATCCAGGGCTGTGATTTGATAGTTTTAGCTGATAAACAAAGTGAAATCTGAAAAAAAAAAGACAAAGTTGTATGCCTTCATTGCATTTATGTTTACTTTTTTATCCTTTTCATTTTCCGGGTATCATTTAACGAGTATTATTTTTTAGATGATGGAATTTCATATTCGGAGAATATGTATTACAAGCCTGAGAAGACGTGGGAAAGGAGAATTATGAAAACATATTCTGGGCATTCTACTTGATTTGATAATCTATATCTATATCTATACTACTTTAAATTGAATTTTTCTAAAATTTTGTGAGGATAAAATTTATTCCTTTATATTTAAATTTATTGATAAAAAATAAGGGCAAATAGGGTACGTAATTGGTATTAATACTAAATGAGTTGAAAAGAGGTAATTTTAAAATATTCAATTCTCTCTCATTAAATCCAATATTTAAGGTAATAATTTGCATTCATCTTCATTAAATCATATACTTAGGGGTGGCAATTTTCCCCGTCCCTGATGGGTGCCCAGACTCCCCGACCCAATGGGGTCGGGGATGAGAGGTACCTTGGCGGGGTTGGGGTCGGGGATGGGGCTACTCCTGAATCCCCGATCGGGGATAGGGATGGGGATGGGGAATGCAATCCCCGCCCCGACCCATCCCCAATTCATATATATAATATATTATAAATTTATATATATATATATTATTCGTTTAAAATATTAATTATTAAAACTTGAAAAATAGTAAAAGTGTAAAATACTAAACTAAAGTTTAAAACCCTCGATAGAGAGAAGAGAAAAGTCGAAAACTTTCAACTCATTTGTCTCTGGAACAGCTTCGCTGATTCACCTTCCTTCATCTTCGACTCTTCATCGCTGAATTGCTGATTTGCCTTCCTTCATCTTCGACTCTGCATTGCCGAATTGTCGACCACCGTCGCTGTCGCCCGCCGTCGTCGCAGAAGATTCAGAACCCTAGCTTCATGCCTTCTCGAGTGATAGAGAATAGATAAAGAAGAGTTTTAGTCATCAGTCCTTCTAACCTTCACCTATCGTCGCTGACCACCATCGTCGTGACGTCGTTGCCCGTCAAACTCTCTCGTCACCGATCTTAACTCTCCCAACGGTCCTCTCTCTCTTTCTCTCTCTCTCTCTCTCTCTCAGTCTCAATCTCTCATTCTCTCAGTCTCAATCTCTCAATCTCTCATTCTCTCTGTCTCAACCTCTCAGTCCGTCGGGGAATTCATCCCCGTCAGGGTCGGGGATGGAGGGGGGATTCCTTTCCCCACCAGGGATCGGGGACGGGGACGGAGGGTGATTTGGGGGTCGGGGTCGGGGATGGAGAATGTAATCCCCTCCACGTTGCCATTCCTAGATATACTTAAAGTTTTTTTTTATTTCTTTTCATCATTAAATTTTATATTTAAATCCATACATAATAAATTAATCATTTCAATAACATAAAAACTTATACTTTTAAAATATACCTGGAAAAAATAGTGTTTTCATCTAGGTGGTGGTAAGAAATTAAATCATTTGGGTCAAATGGGCCAATCCATATTGCCACAATTAAATAATAAAATTCAAAAATATGTAAAATGTAAAAAATATAGAAATTAAAAAAATGGAAACGTTTTTAACATCATATATTTGACATATTAAACAATAATAAGTATGATAAACAATGTTTTAAAAGTCAACCCAGAGGTCGACTGGCTTTTGACTTTGGGTCACAGGTCACTAGTTCGACTGTCAAGGTTAAATGAGTCAAACTGCTATGCGTCAACACTATGTTTGTATATAAAAAGATATACTTTATCAATAAATAGTATAATTATATTTTACATATATATAGTTATGTTTTACATATATTTTATAATTATGTTTTACATATATTACATATAATACGTGTATTATGTTACATTTATTTATGTTTTTTAATTTAGTTTTAAATTTTTTATTTATAAAAAATATTAAAATTGCAATTTAGGGCCTGAAAATGATTTTTTTCGTGAAAATAGAAAGGCAAGGCGCCTAAGGCCCTTGGGACATATAGATCTTGAAATGTTAAATAATAGATATTTAAAAAATAATACAAAAGTACAAAAGTATGAAAAGTAAAAATTATGTATATAATATAGATGAAATATATAATTTAAAACTGATCCGAAAGCAAAGCTATTTTCTTATCTAAATGGTGGGTCAATGATCTAACTTTTCAAATAAATTCATGATGACATAATTGAATAATAAATATTTAATAAAGATAGAACACAAAAAAAGTACGAAGTTTTGTCAAAGACATTTTAGAACATTTCTAATGTTATATAATCATCATCTTAAATAAAAATAATTGTTAAAATAAAAATTATTTTTATTTAAGACAGAGATGGAATACAAAATTTAGTAGTAATGTAGTAGTAGAAATAACAATAATAATAATAATAATAATAATAATAATAATAATAATAATAATAATAATACTAATACTAATACTAATAATAATAATAATAATAATAATAATTTTTATTGTAATATAAAATTTTTGCAGGTGCACATTTAGTACAAGTATTTAAATTGATTTCTAATCATATTACTAGCGGAGACCCATGCGATGCATAGGAAAATCTGAATGGTTGAATAATTTTATTTATTATTAATTAATTCATAAATTAATAATGAAAATTTTTTGTTAGTTAATTAAAAGTATTTATAGTTATTAGTAATATTTAAAATTTTAATAATTATATTTTTTATTTAATGTTGACTTATAGAAAATAATTATTGTTAATTTATTATCAACAAATATTTTTTAATAAATTTAATTTTATTAATCATTTGTAGTAATTTTAATAACTATAATCATTTGTAGTAATAATTTGTTAATTTCATTATTTTTAAATGAAATTTTGATTAACTTTAAATAACTAAAAATAATTATAAAAGCTAACATTTTTATTAATTTCACTAATAATTAACAATTATATAGGAATGGCAAGGGGGTGGGGCACCCCATCCCTATCCCCACCCTATAGTCAAGACATTCTACCCCATCCCCACCTTGTCCCTAGTGTCAGGTGGGTTCAGGGTAAGGCACCCACTCTCCGTTTGGAATGGAGAATCATTGAATTTCTCCGCCTCATCCTCAATGTCGTGTGAGTTGAGGGCAAGACACACATTCCTCATCTAGGATTGGGAATCCTCAAGTTTTCCCTATCCTATCCCTAGTGTTGAATGAGATCAAGGCAATTATATGGAATTATCAAAAAAAAGCAACTATATGGAATTAAAAGAATAAAAAGTTCAAAAGAAAACAAAAAATTAGAATGGGGGGTTTCTTGCAAGGAGAGGGCTGTTGACATGGACCGACTAATTTAATATATAAATATAGATTACTTTTATTAATTTTCAATTTCTATCCTAATATATCTAAAATTTAAGTAATTAATATAAAACAAATTCATACATACAATACAGGTGCTTAATTACTAGTTAAGAGAAAAAGGAAAAAATAACAAATTTAAAAAGAGGAAAAAGGAAATCTGAATCAACCATTTTGAGTGGTTTGGATTGGAAATTGATAAATATGCAATATTGAAAGGTGAATATTCTGGTCCAAATATTCATACGTACTACTAAATTAATGTGCATTATTTGACTATGAATCTCCTGCCCACGAGAACTCTGCGCATCTCTACCCACAACACACTACCCCCCTGAATTGGGAACATCTTCCCCTGCATAATACTATGCAGAGGATGAGATGTTCTCCATGTGTGACTGTGATAAACGTGGGCAGAGTTTGTATGGGCTGGAGATTGGGACTCTGAATTTTATTGTATCATTGCTCGTATGGCCAAAATTAAAAAACTTAAGCAATTTTAGAGAGAGAGAGAGAAAGGGAAGGAGGAGAGAGAACACACCTACATAGTCTGTTAGAACCCGGCCGTCGGAGAAACGGCCGGCTGGTTTTCCGGGAAAAGTTATCCCGTAAGGTACCTTCCATGACCTAGCTACAGGCTTCTGATCATTCCCGGTGTCAGCATAAGAGTCACCAAAGACAAAAAGCTTGGACAGGCCACCAAGCCGGTGGTGGTGGTAGTAATTGGGTGAACATTGAACTACTTGAATTCCTGTAAATTCACAAAATTAAATTAGAATAACTTGAATAGATTCAGAAACAGAAAAGGCAGAAGCTGTGTCCAGCATGGATAATTTATCATAGAAGGAGAACACAGTAAACCCAGCTGGGTTAACATTACCTGTCAGAAGAAAGAAGGAGAACAATAGATAAAAGACGAAAATGTGCCTCCATTGATTCTCCATGAATGAGAATCTCATGGAGAATCAATGGAGATAGAGTTGCAGAGCAAATCGAGGGATGCAAGATGGTAAGAGGCAGAATCTTCTTATTTATAGATTTTTAACTTGAAGGCCTTCTTATTTATAGATGATTTAGCTGGAATGAACCGACTTTTGTTGATTCAGTTAAAACCACCTCATTGGACAGGAACAAGGAGGTATGGCCTAATTATCATCCACCTTGAATTAAACCAGACGGTTTCCTCTATTATAATATAATAGGAATAGAAGTTTTTTCGGTTGCAAATGGGTACTGGGGTTATATAATTAAGCACGTGCGAAATAGATACTATTTAATTCAGGGTCCATTTGGTTTGCATCCTAATCTAAATCCATCAGAATTAGAATGGTCTATATATTCCCCCTATCTGTGTCTTGTTGAAATGGGAATCAGAATTGGTATCGACTCAAATGGATTCTCATTCCCAGGGGGAGAGAACAATCATTCGTCAAATAGGGGATTGCCGTTCCATCAGGAATAGGAATAAGATTCCAATTCCATCCAAACAAATGATTGGATCATTCCAATTCTGATTTCAGAGCCTTATTCCTGCAAACCAAACAGACCCTATGTATGGAATGAGAGAATATTAGGCAATTATGATATGCCACATCAACCTAAAAATCTATGTATGGTGTATGGGTAATAGTGATTATGGGTCGGACTGGGCCAGGTCGGGTCTGTACGGTTCATTATATCATATAATATGTGTATAAATTTGTACATATTTGGTTGACTCAATTTTGGAAGTATTGACGAAAATATAGTTGATTCAATTTGCAATAGCAATCTTCCTCAGTTGGAACTGATAAGCCATTGTGGACCCTAGACCCTAAACACAGATTCACAATCAAGATGGACTACACCTTGGCTCACCATATGTCCATGGATGTTGAAGTTGAAAGAAGCCATATGACTGACTTCAACTAAAAAGGCATTTGAAGATGAATCGGGCTATGAATGCTCCCCCTAAAATTTAAACCTTTCATTTGGAAATGCTGCTTGAATGATATTGCTATTAACAAAAATCTTGCAAATTTTTGTATTAATAATAAATGAAATTTGCATCATTTGTGAAAAGGAACCATAATAGACTATTTAGGGTCGCATTGCTTTCATTTGTATATATGCTTAGCACGACTATTGCTCATTAATGTGTTACTTGGTCAGATTGGAGGCGTATGTTAGAGCGACCCTAAACCCTAGGACGCATGGCATTGGCCAAACCAGAGTGACATCTGGACCGTTGGTGGTAAATCGAACTAAGTCATTGACAACCCTTTACAACAACGAGTACCAAGCCAAGCGACTTGGACTTTTCCATTTGCTTCTAGAGCTTGGATAAGTGAAGAGAGGTCATTTGGAAATTAGTTTGGTGTTGCTTGGTGCTTGTTGATATCTAGGAGTTTAGTATACCCTCGTCCAGTCCGATTCTAGTTCAAGTTCTAATTCTAGTTCCAACTCCATGACAAAGTTGGTGGCTTGGTTAAGGAGACTGTCATGACTGACGTTAGAGAGACTGAGGCCAATAGTTATCGATTTGGGGGTGAGGAGGTTTCTTTTGAAATCAAGGCCAAGGATGCTAAGCTTTAGAAACTGGTGGGGGATCAGGATCACAAGGTTGGTTGCTCTAGTACTGGGGGCAAGCCCTAGGCCAAGGACATGGATGTCAAGGTGGTGACGGGAGGATCTGCTCCTCACAGGCACATCTCCACCATGCATTACGAACATTTCCTGTAAATAATAACCAATAAGTATGGGAGATGTTCCTAATGCATGATAGGATGTGCGTGTAAGGCACCAAGTGTGAGGAACAGATCTGGTGTTGTCAAGGTGCACATACTTGGCATGTCAAAGAATGAGGATGAGGAACTACTCAATAAGGGTGCTTAATTCATCAAAAGTGCCTTAGGACAACAAAATATGGTGACTACTAATAAAAGTATCATATACTCGAGAAATTGGAGATGAGGGTGTCGATTGAGGAGAATTAAGCCTATCGGGCCCCCATTGGCTGGTTGAGCATATACGAGGACAGCCAGCCTTAAGACAGGGTTGCGATTCCCAATAGACAAGCAAGTGGCTCAGATGCTAATGAAACAGTGAATGATTGTTTGTTAGTTGGTTTCAAACATTACAAGAAAAATGACTTTTGAGGCGGCGGACTTTCAAAGGCCACTTAAAGGCCGACGTGTCGGTCTATATTAATACCTTCGGCGGATTTTATAACTAAACCGGAATTAAACCGGTCTAAATTCGGGTTCCACATACCAAACGCGGGGAGGCAAAAATTTCTTTCTCCCGCGCGAAGGCGCCTTCTATTCGACAAGGCAGAAGGTTCTCTTTCCAGCAGACAACCTTGCCGAGGAAGAGGAATTTTGAAGAAGAGAGAAAGGTTCACGAGCAAGCGATTGACTCTTCGCATCTTCTCCAAGCCAAGGGTTTCTGCTCATTTCAAAATACAGTGAAAGAGCTAAGAGGGAGCCGCACGGTTGAGTGAAAGAGACAAGGGTTTCTGCTCGTTTCAAAATCTCCGCTCACGATGTTGAGGAGAACATCTGCACGTTTGTGAAGAAGGGTTTGGATTCAGATTCAGAGTTTGAGGAGAACATCAATGGTTTTGGGGAGAACATCTGGAATTTCCCCAAAACCATCAATGGTTGAGGAGAACATCATTGGTTTTGGATTCAGATTCAGAGTTCTTTTGATCTTTAAACCTGGCGGGTTTGGAATACTCATTCGCCATGGCCGTATCTGGAATTTCCTTTCAAACATGGCAACGCCTAATTGAACTTTGTCGTCAGAACAACGCAGCTCGTATCAATACATATGCCACTTGGTCTTTCTGCCTAGAGCTTCTTCTACAAATGGCATAAAGAAAAGCTTCCTTCATTGTTCTTAACCATCTTTAATTTGGTAGAAAAACATGCTCAACATTCAAATGCATTAATTTACGGGTTGTCCCTGAAAGCTTTCTCACACTAGATCTTCTACCGTTACATTCTAACATTCACACACAGAAGCTAATTAAGCCATGGTTTGGGCAGATGCATGCTCGTCCTTCTGTTCTACAAATTACCTATCTAAAGAATAAGGCAAGAATCATTTTTCATTTATTTGTTTATATTCATTTCCAAGTATTGGGTTTCTATTTTGAGTTTGCATGTTTGATTTCTTGTTCTTTGTAAACAATTTTACAGGTTCCTCAATGAGAATAAGAGCCAGGATTAATGCTCATCAAAGCAAAGGTAAGCAAGATCATTTATCCTTTTTTTTTTTTAATTTTAACTTTTCCTTCTGATCAAACCCAAAGCCTAGACTCTGCTGATTCATGAAGCGTTAGCTTAACCTCGTTATTCGTCATCTAATCTTTTTCCCAGCTTTATCTATGACAACTGATCAGATAGAGATTATCTTTTAGGGATAAGCTTTCTTCTTATCAAGTAACATTAGCAACTGTTGTTGTTGCTCTTATTCATTTTCTTGTTCAAACATATTTCAGATATTATTTTCTGTTTTTTTTTAAAGAAAATTGGAGGAAAATTGGAACTACCCAACCTGGTATAGGCTTAATTTGTTCATTGAGTTGGCTGGTTGGGCTACCCAATTCTTGTTCCTCCAAGTCTTGGTGGGGGGGAAATTCTTTCACTCACTTGGTCAGTTTGTCAAACCAGCTCCTTCCTAGGTCCTCTTGGATGTTCAAGCATGCACTAATGCAATGCTATTTTAGAATTAGCAAATAAAAGTTTTGGTTTTTTCTTATGAAGTTCCTTTCATGCATGGTCCCATTTTTCTGTTGTACCTGCCATTCATTTTTCTTGAAGAATTAGTGAGGTTATAGTGGTTCAGCAATATCTCGTTTTGAGATATACAAATTTTATTCTTTAATTCTAGCATATCTTTTTATTTTCTCTTCCCTCCTATAGAGAGAGAGGAAAATTTCTTCCTTCCTCTTTTTACTCTGTCCTATTACATTTATAATACTTTTTTTTGTTAATCAACAGTATAAAATTTCATTCCTTATAAAGAAAGAGATGACCACAAGAGTCAAAGAAATATACAAAAATAACAAAAATGCTGGCCAGATTGAATCTGGTGTCTCTCAACATGTAAAACGGGTTGATGTACATAGAGGCCTTGTTGATACTGCAACACCATTTGAATCTGTTAAAGAAGCTATTTCTAAATTTGGAGGAATTATTGAGACAAAGCCCATAGAATACAGACTTTTGAGGTATGGAGTTTCTCTCGTTCTATTTGTGTGTTGTTAACTTGTTATTGTTGTTATTGTTATTTGTTGTTGATACTATTCCTGATTCAACCCAGACACTGTACGTTGGTTCAATTTAGACACTATCTTTGACATTCTCTTTCAGGATTTCCGTGGCAGTTCTTTTGCATTGTTGCCTGAGAAACTTAAGTTGTCATACTGGCGGAACTCATGTTCATGGTGCATCCTGTTCATGGTTCACCTTATATCTAAATGGTGAGTTGTATCTACCGAAGACTTGCCTACTTTCTGAGTTAAAGAGAGCCTAGCTTATCATAATATATAATATCGTTCAAATTTTGTATTTGTTTTGTAGTTTGGCTTGGATACCTTTTCTAATTAGATTTCAGCAACTATTTTCTGAATTAAGAGTAGTAGGGCAATGCATAGTAGTCATGAATCACTAGTTGTGTGTCAAAGAAATATATGATACTGTCCCCTCCACAGAACCTCCCTCCCCAACCCAAAACTCCATAACCATTTAACCGAAGAGCTGCTTACTAAAAGCTCTGATTCTTCTAAAACCAAACAAACCCATCTTCTTATGTCTATATACCCAATCCAAGTTAACCAAATGGAACTTCCTCCCACCACATCTTGCCCATAGAAAGTTCCTTTAAATCATCTATTTTTTCTATGTAGCAGCTAGAATATTTAACAACAAAAGTTAAATAGGTAAGTTTGCCCACACACTCTTAATTAGCATGACTTGACTACCCAAATACATATATCTACATTTCCAGACCACCAACCTTCAATCAATTCTATCCAAAACAAGTTGCCATGTTGACACAACATATTCTTTTGCCCCTCAGCAGATCCAAGTAGATAAAAGGAAGCCCTCCAATTTGACAGTCAAGTCAAGAAGCACAATTTTCTAATAATTCCCTCCCACCTCCCTACTGTCTATTCAAATCATCACAGTTTTGCATAAACAGCATCACAAAACTTCTTAGTATAGCTCTAAGATTCAAGACATGCTCCAAAAAAAAAACTTATAGAACCTCCAAAAACATAAGAATAAGAATGTCATCTGCCTATTGAATTTGAAGATGTAAAATAATTGGCCCATGACTCCCTACAGTTTTTTTCTGGTAACTCCATGATTCCCCTACTTGAAAATCTCCAATTGTTCGCACACCTTTGTTCAACAGCTACATAATGCCTAAAGCTAATACAAACCAGCTTAGGCACCTAAGAAGAGGCTCAGACCACTCTTATAGGTGATCACTCAATGATGGCAAATATAAACAAAAATATAATGTTAACACTTAGGCCAAGTTTGGGAGTGCTTAAAAATAAATGCTTATTCAAATAAGCACTCATCCAAGAAGCCTGAAATTTGGGCTTATTTTAAAGTGATTATTCAATAAAAGCTTATTTCCTTTTTGGCCTGTCATGGTCCACCATGCCATTTTGAAAATACCTATACTACCCCTATTTGAAATAAGTGCTTTTTCACCAAAATGCTCATGCTTATTAGAATAARCACTTATTTTTCAAATAAGCACTCCCAAACTTGGCCTTAATCTATTTCTTGAACTAAAAGAGGCATATCAAGTCAACTCAAATATATAAATAAGTGCAGTACTGTGTGTACATGTATATTTAATAAATTAGGATACAAAATATTATATATAAACCAGTACTATTAATGTGGTGAAGCAATGACTGGTCCTTTTGGCCCCATAGTCAATGCAATGACCATTCAGTGCCTGCCTAGGAACTTCCAAGTCAAAGAATACCAGCAGATTCCAAACTCGTGAAGGGGTGGGTATTGGGTAGGCAACAACTGTGTTGGGAAGAATATCTGTTGGGTTAAAATTGTATTGATTGTGGGGCTCTTGATGAAGCAGGGGAGAGGAAACACGTTAAAATGTTATGTTACAGTTGGATCTCTGTTTATGTACAGAAACATGTAAATACTTTATAAAAGCATCATTTTCTATTTTCTCAACAAAATTCTACTTTGCTGATAAAAAAGGAAATAGAAAACCAGCAATCTACATCACAAATGCTTAAAGCAACTAACATCAATGTACCCAAATAAAAACATATATGATACTATTTTAAATATGCAAAAAAAAAAAAATTTAAGATAACCTTACGGTTGAATAGGTCAATTATTACTATAGACCTTTTTGGTTTCTTTATGATAAAAACATAGAATAAGCATTGAATGAATGAAATTGCCTAATGGCTTCCAAGATTAAATTTCTTCATATTGAGACAAAGCATCAATTAATTATCAAGCTCATAATCAGAAATGAATGGTATTTGCAAGGAGACATACTTTGAGCTACAGGTATCTAATAAGGATTGTTGGAGATGAGATCCATTAACTCATTAATGAAGAATAATTAGACAGTTGGAAGTGCAAAGTCCTATCTTGTCATTCCCTACCACTAACAGAAAAAATATCCCTGTTTCCTTGGAATTTTATGTGATATTTGACCTTGATATGATTGGATGTCTCACTATGGAATGTTTCAACCTAGGAGTAAGTAACTAAGAAGTTTTGGAAGCAATTTTGATGGATCATGGAGTGGCCCAACCTGCCTCCCATACTTTGCACCTAAAAATAGAAAAGGAAAAACACCCAGGTGTTTGGGATTTTTTCTTCATTTTTAATTTAGAGGGGCAAGACTGAAGTAATAATCAACCACTACAACAATAAAGTTGAACTGAATTGTGATGAAGTAATTCTTCTCTTTAATATATATGATTGTAAGTGTTGCGCATCAAGATTTATGCCCAAAGCGTACAATGGTCTTGGGGTGTGAGATCTGCATCAAATGTACAAGATTTGTAATCTAAAATGCTTTTGTAGTACCAGTACCACCAAACATCTTTATGTGCTGAAGAATTGCTTTAATAAGTGACTAGTGAAATGTCCCCGAACATTAAAGTTTTGTAAGTTTGGAACTAAGGCCAAAACGCTGATAAGTGAGTTCTGAACTTTGAATTTTGATAGTGAATAGCTGAAACACTGATAGTGACTACATAGTTTTAGTAAACTATAGTTTTTTTTTGGTGCTTATTCTCATGTAAATCAGAGGTTTTTTTGCTTTAATTTTCAAAATTTGTAGGACTATCATGCATGATGTATTGCTTCGGGGACTACATAGTTGGATCTGGTGGGGAGGGAGATAGGGACCTTGTACCATTTCATTGGGTAATCATAATAATATTTTTTTCTTGAAATTTTCTCCCCTTGATTGTTGAAGATAATACTTGTTTTGAAACGTCTGTGTGGGTTTAGTTGCTGGTATACTTTCTCGAAATAGTTCTGCATCTCTTAATCCCTTTGACAGTGCAAAAGTTTTCTTGTTGAAATCCCAAAGTTTGCATCAACAGGTCTTAGAATCCAACAATCATCGCACTACTAATTTTCCACTGTTGTAATTCCTTGAGTCTTGGTCTCTCAGCAAGCTTAACTTCTGGACCTTTGATATAACTCCAGAGAACTTAATTTTATTATTATTGACTTATTCTAATTAATCATTGGCATATGCAATAAAATCAGTAATTTATGAATATACTTTTTAAGGTTCTGAGTTGTGGAGTTCAAAGTTGAGAGCAATGAAATTTATGAAACAATAGTTAAATTTTGCAGGTGTTGGCCTCAGGTGGAGTTAAGGATCCTCTTGAGATTCTGGCTGACTTTCTAGTTTCTAGGAAGGGTCCCACCCATTCMACCCTATATTGAGAGCAAAACCAGAAATAGTTTGTGGTAGAGTTTCGGTAATTTCCTGGCAACAACTACGCTGGCTGTAAGCAAAATTTTGTAGCATCTGAGTTTGTTTAAGTTTACATAACTCCATTGGTCTCAGTTTATCATTTTGAATTTGCTTTCATCTGAATGATCCTAAGCAAGCATCAATCCCTCCCCCCCCCCCCCTCTTTATGAGTTTGCTGAGATGACTTCAGGTTAGCATTTGCTTGGGTAGTTTCTTATTGCTGGATGGGGTAGTTTTAGGGTCGGTTAGCAGTAAAAGGGCTGAAATTAAGTTAGACTGACCATAATAAATCCCTGAAGAAAGAAGTTAATATTTAGGGCCAATGTATAAACGCACTAGGCTTGGACTTGTAACAAGTCCAAAGTGCACATACTAAAGATGATGATAGGGATGTTATGGCTATTTCATTCAGCTGCTGATGGTCCTAATGCTAGTACTGGTGTAGGAGCAAATAATAACTACAGAACAGGTTTCCATCAGTCTCAGATGAATGATGATAGAAACAGGAAAGCAAGAACCTAGAATTTCAGACCATTTATGGCATCATGATCTAGTCTGAGGTATGCTACAGACTATGGTTTATGTAAATTCTGATGATCGAGTATTGTTTCCCCATAAACATGCTTGTGGTAGCTTCTATGCAAAAGGATCTAAATACCAAGGGGTCAATCAGCTAAGTACTCCCATGAGTTTTGTGAAAGTAAACAGATTAGATAAATAAACATAGATTACATTTGCTTGGTTGGATCTTCATTTCACTTCTTGAAAAGCACCTTCAACTTCCCAAACAAATACTAAATTATTTCCCTTTTTCTCTAAGTACTAAACTATTTCCCTTTACTAACGGGCAAAAAAGTATTATTTGATGGCATAAAGATCCACATTCTAAAAAAAAGCCAGCCCAAATCTGAAAGTGAGGATCCAAGAAAAATGTGGACAAGGTAATGGACCCCATGTATGTATATTCCTTCAGCACAAGTCATATCTAAAATACTCTTGTCAGTCATATCTAGTTCATATGAACTCAATCACATCTTTTTTTCTTGTACATGTGCAACATGTGCATGCCTTTTACTTTTCGGAAGTTGGTCATGTTTTTCCATTTTAACCAAGGAGACATCATCTGCAACTCCTCATACAAGATTCTTCACTATTCCATGTAAACTCTTTTAAGGACTTTGCAGTTTTATGGGTACTTTGTTTTTACAGTTATCTTCAGTTGGCAACAAGTATTTGACTGGTTGACTTTGTCTTTAGGTGACAGTGGCACAAACTCTTTTTGGGGTCATAAAAAATGACTATTCCTCTGAAAATTTTATTATAATTTGTTTTTTTTTTTAATTTTATCTCTTGTATCCACCAAGTAATACGGGATTTGCATGATATGTTAGTTCTAAGGAGATTCACTTTCTTATCTCAGGCTTCATTACTTTCACTTCTGCCAAAACACTTAATGAGGATAGCAGAAGTCCCAAAACTGACTATTAATGTATCAGCGCATCTTGCAATTGGGTATGTGCTATTTCCATTTGAAAATCTTCTTAATTTCACTTTTAGTTTGTTGGTGTTATTTCTGTAGATTATTTTGACTCCTTATGGATGCTTATGTATATATGCAGTTCCATGATAACTTCCATCTTAAAGGCCCAAGTAGTTCAGATTCAGATAGATCCTTTGAGTCTGCCCTTGCCCATGCTCTTGAAACACATACATATTAAATTATTGAATTTTATAGTTTATCTACTTGGTTATAAACTCACTTAAAACATATGTAATTTGTGTAAACCCTCATCATCATTTCATTAGCATATTGCTAGATCATTCCCCATTAGAAATTATCATAAAACCTACCCAGGAAGTTCTTTGCATCATGTCATCTGGCATTATTTCCCATCCATCTTGAGCATAGGTCACTCATTTAGTCCTAATTCCTTCATTTACTAGTTTCAATTAGGATTTGGTTTTATCATTTTGTCGTTTGGCGTTTTATCATATCAGTGGTTTATCTGTTTTCTTATGCTCCTTCACCACCATTTAATCCACTGATAGCTTTAACACTTCCATGTTAGATTATCTGTGTACTATTCTGTATTTAGTTAATTTCAGCTCTGCATTAAAAATTTTGTTTGGAAACTCTGTTTGATTCAATATTGAGAAGAAGCCATTAACATCATAGTCAAATTTGTCAAACTGCTACCTGGTCCCCTGTGGGCCATTTGATATAACAGTAGTTGAAGTGGCTGAACTGAGAAGCTTATTGCTTTGTCTTTTAGTAGCTGAAGCTGAAGTTGGGAGGATTTTAATGGCTGAACTGAGAAGCCATTAACATCATAGTCATGGTGTTGGGAGGTTTTTAATGGCCGAAGCTATAGTTGGATAGGCTACTATACCCTTGAGTACTTTATTATTTAAATATTTTATCCACTAAAAATAAAGCAATAAATCATTCAGTTCAGCTAAATTAAGGAAGGTTGATCCCCCAAATAACTGCTATTAGATGCACAACTAGATGGACACCATGGCTGGTATTGTGGTCTTTATGTGGGGTATGAGAGCTAAATGAATTCAAACTGATAAACAATAGCAGTTATATAACATATGAAGATACATGCACCTGGTCATCATGGATAAACCTATCAATCGATCAAGTAATTCACTCTTTAATTAATTAATTGCAAAAGTTGTGCTGCACCCTAGCTACCAGCAGCCACGATCAAAGTCTTGCTTGCAGATATTTAAAGCTAGATGATAGATACTATTGTAACTTATATACCTTGAAAACTGATGAATGAGAACCCAATCCATGATCCTTTTCCCGCCAAGTAGAATGATATGGGTCGTTATGTATTGAATGGGGTTCTTTTCTTGTCATTCTTCTCATAATAAAGCCCAAATTGGAAGGGGAAATTAGAAAAACATTTTTTGTGATTGGTAACTAATAAAAGGAGAGATGAAAATGATGCTTGTACTAGACCGTCCATGTGTTAACCATTGGTGTTAAATGTTTGGTTGTGGCTGGGAGAAAAATAATAGCTACATGTAACAAGGATTTCTTCAATAAGCCGTTCAGTTCAGCCACTTCAACCAGTTTAGCTCTACCTTGCTTTTATTTTTTATAATTTATTAATGAATCTGTTATTATTTTTTTTATATTTGGTTTTGCACTCTACAAATTTGTATTTGTACTCCTTCCAAACGCAGCCTTGAGTGCAAAACCCAAATGCTACTCCAATTTTATTGAGAATTGTATTTGATCTCATTTACTTTATATTATCTAACAATTTATATGTTATGATTTGTAGGTTAAACCATTATGTTCAGTGGATGTGCATTGGAAGATGTGTTACATTTTTCAAGAAGATTTTTTTTAAATGCCTTGTACTTTTTCTATGTTAATTGGATATTGTATTTAAGCAATTTGTTTTGAATATTATAGTAATTAATAATTTAATTAATTAATTATTTTTAATTTTTAATTTGCATTTTTTATTTAATTGTTTTTTATGTATTATTTGTTATGAGATTTGTATTAAATAGGTACCAAAAAAAATGTTGAAATCAAATTGATATAAATAAAAAAAATAAAAAAACAAAGTCGGCGGTCATACAACCGCCGCCTTAGACATAAAAAAAGACTTAAGGCGGTGGTCCAAACCGCCACCTAAAAGTGGAAGCAACATTTTGACCGACCTAAGGAGGTGGTCTAAAGAGATTTAAGCCGGCGGTGCAGACTAGCACTTAAAAGTGAAAGCAACATTTTGACCTACCTAAGGCGGCGGTTTAAAGAGACCTAAGCTGGTGGTCCAGATGGTCACCTACAACATTTTGATCGACCTAAGGCGGCGGTCCAAAGAGATCTAAGTCGGCGGTTCAGACCGTCGCCCTTATTACCTCTAAGCCGACGGTTCTGACATATCGCCACTTTAGGAGTGATTGAATTGCATCGGACCAGTCCTTAAAGGCGGTAGTCTTTTTTGTCTAAGCCGGTAGTGGTTTAGGCGGCAGACTCATGACCGTTGCCTTACCTCTAAGGCGGTGGTCTAAAGGTTTAAGTTGGCGGTCTTGCGAGTCGACTGCCAGCTTTGATCGTTTTTCTTGTAGTGAAACTCGTTGAGGTATCTTGTATTTACTATCTACATTACTCAGATCTTTTTGGGTGTCGGATTGTCACAAGTGACTCTTTCGCCGCGCCATCAAGCACCTACCAACGTGCCATCAGAGTGCCAACCGTGTGCCTTCATGGTGTCAACATGTGTCATGGGTGGGCTATGCATGTATCTTGTAAGGGGGGACCGCCAATAGCGTTATTGTAATTACATAGTATGATTTTTCATCCTTTTAATGTTTTCTATTGTCACTCCCCCAAAAGCTTAACGTATTCTTTGAGGGGAGGTAGGTAGTCGAGTGAATCAAGAGCATGTAAAGGTTAAGCATAAGATCCCCTCGACACTGAACTGTGTGCTTATGCTTGCCATCCATTAATGCAATACAATTTGCCTTTTATCTAATTCGTGTGTTATCTTTATTGCCTTTTCTTGTGTTGTTACTTGTCGCTTAGGCTTACTCGTTGCATTCGAGTGTTGCACGGAGCCCCAACGATTAGCCCCGTGACAGGGTGGTTTGTCCAATAGGATATTTAAGTCATTTTTTGTACTAAAAAACCATAATCAGGGTGGAATTACTTCGTGGCCCGGAACACAGGCACTCAGTTTTCAAGGGATCCTTCTTCCAACCATGGTTTGACTCATGCGGAATAGTCATGTAGTCGAGGTATTGCTCTATGAAATCTGCCTTCCCATGAATCGGGACTCGGAAGGAGGTCGGGGTATTGTTTTTCCCTTGCCGTTCTAAGTGATATTTTCTTGTAGGGCTTCTTTGCTGCGAATGTAGTGTATGTATATATTAACCAATGAGAATCGCACGCCTTCCCTACCACCTTACCTCAACCACTCATCTATTTTTTCTTATCTATTATCTCTTATTTAAAATTCGAATTTGAGTTAGTTAGAGAATAATGGGGAGAGAGATGAGAGATTCTAGGGCCTACCATTCTTGACTCAACTAAATGAGAGTCCTAAGGCTAACTATGAGGGATCCTCAATGACTACAACATAGGGCCGGCCGGCTATATGGGTCCCATACTAACACTACTTGGTTATTTTCTGGAGGGTACATAGCGTAGCTCCTTTGGGTCCGACCACTTCCTTTCCACCACCATTAGATTTGGCCATTTCCCTTGAACCTTCAAAAAAATTAGGCCAGTCTTTTCCATGCTAATGGACTTACACATGGATGCAAAGCGAAATTTGGTGCAAAATTTTGGATCCAATTCAGATTTGCACTGCAATCTTTGGAGATTGCTTTCACTAGAAGCAAATTAATTACTTCTCTTTTTCTCAATTACTAATTAAATGAAATTGGAAACAATGGCAAGAATAGCAAAGGCCAAAGGAAATATGATCGATGGTGCAAAAAAGCGTAGGGTACACACAGTGGTCTGATCCTACACCTACACCTACATAGTTCACATTAAAGAGGAATTAATGTTAAGGATGGAGTAGGGTACACTTGGGCAATGTTTGGTTTGAAGAAAAAGGTAGGGAAAGTTAAAATATTATTCCAGGAAACGGCAATGATATGGCGCTGATGTGGCGCCATTTCTTCAGGAAGCGGCAACGATGACAAACAGCTCCTTAATTAATCAAGTAGAGTTGATAATTAGTTACTTAATTAATTATGGTTTAATTAATTAAAGTTAAAATATTACTCTTATTAATTGATAAAAAAAAATAATAGTAAATTACCATAATTAATAAAGTATTTAAATTATAATTATTGTTATTTTCATTACTATAAAATTATTTTACAGTAATTAAAATAACTATAATGATCACTAAATTATTATTGACAACTACTTAAATTATTAAGTATAAATATAATTAAAAAATATGGTAATTATTACTGGAAATTACCATAATTTATGTTACTTAATTACTTATTCAAGTAAAATATCAATAATTAAAATAACAATAATTTAATGATAAATTACTGTTAAATCAGTGAATTTACCATAATTTTTTTAAATAAGTTATTGAATTATTTAAGTAGAATATCTCGATAATTAAAATAACAGTAATTAACCCCAACTAGGCCCAACCATTAGAATTAGGGGCCTGAGCCTGAGGTCAAGCTGGATCTGTCAACCTGAGCCCAACCCAGAACTAGAATTTTAATTGTTTATCTTACAACATAAGATACTTGGATTTGAGTCCTCCATTGTAGCTCTTCCATGCTATTCTTTCTAAAATTAAATTAGAAACTAATAAAAAACATAAATAATTAATTGAATTGGATTTTAAATGTGTGATTATTTTTGAACCCACATCTGAGTAGGGGGGTGCAATTTGCTTGGATCCAATTAACTCAAGACTGGATCAATCCAAAAGTTTGGGCTTTTTTATTTTTCTGGCTGGGCTTAGGTCTATTCCTTAGGTAGCCCAAATCTGATCCGACCATGTACATATTTATGCATATATAAACACATATTTGCATTGATGCATGCATATACACTTACATTTATATCAAAATTTGGTGTGGACTGATTGAGCAACCAAAACCTAGCTTGTGTATGAGATAAACACAAGTGTATCAAATTTCAATATAGACAGAGCCCAGATTGGACAATTTAGGCTTGACCTTAGGCATGGGCCAGGCTTGGGTGTTAGTCCTAATTCTTAGCCCTTGGAGTTGGGCTTAGGCTAGCATAAACCCGACCTACCCTGCCATGGACTCCTACATTTGAGTTGGTGTTGGGATAGATTGATTCCCCACTCTGTGAGTTTTCACTTTAGACCAAAAATAAAATAAAAATAAAATTCAAGCATATTTTATTTAGGTCACGTTTGGCAAGTCTTTCTGTGTGAGCTTCGGGCTGTTTAGAAGCTTGGAAATCTAAATCTTGGGCTTTTCCCGTTTGGTAATAGAAAGGTCTATTGGGAAAAAACTCCAACCCATAAAAAACGCTAACAACCCGAATTTTGGCTTTTTYAGGAAGCTTCAAATGAAGCTTTTACAATCTTTTAGTGCCCCTTGTCTTATTAGAACGTGTGGCACGATACGCACGCTTGGGAGAAAATGGGTTATCTTTTCACAAAAAGCTATTTGAATGTGTAAGTGGGACCTACCAATGGTATGTGGGGTCCACCTTGGAAAAAGTATGTGGGGCCCACCTTGAAAAATGTATGTGGGTCTCCTATACATGTCCACACATGGACCTCACATGCATGTCCACCAATGGGGGGGGTCCACCCTGTAAAATATATTTGGACCCCACATGCATGTCCACCAATGGTATGTGGGGCCCACCTGTCCACACAAGGACCTCACATGCATGTCCACCAATGGTATGTTGCGCCCACCTTGTAAAATGCATGTGGGCCCCACATACATGTCCACACAAAGACCTTACATGCATGCCCACCAATGGAATGTGGGGCCTACCTTGAAAAATGTATGTGGGCCCCACATACGTGTCCACACACGGACCCCATGTACATGTCCACCAATGGTATGTAGGGCCGACCTTGTAAAATGTATGAGCCCTACATACATGTCCACCAATAGTATGTGGGGCCACCTTGAAAAATGTATGTGGGCCCCACATACATGTCCATACACGGACCCCACATGCGTGTCCACCAATGGTATGTAGGGCTCACCTTGAAAAATATATATAGGCCCCACATACATGTCAACACATGGATCCCACATGCATGTCTACCAATGATATATTGGGTCCACCTTGTAAATTTTTTCATGTCTACCAATGATATATTGGGCCCACATATATGTCCACCTATGGTATGTGGAATCCACCTTAAAAAATGTATATGGGTCCCATGTGTTAAATGAAAGGTTCCTGGGCTCACACATAAGACATTCATATACATATAATACACATTTTCATCACATTACCAAACGGTCTTCTAGCTTTTATAGTATTTCATGAAATCTATGAAAAACATTCCAAGATCTATTTGCAAAAGCTTAACCTGTCTATTAACTATCAGATCTTATAATAGATATTATGGAAAAGACTTACCAAACAGGCACTTAATCAAAAAATGCATGTGATGGCCTCTGATGAGCTACCGGAAGATACAACAAATAAATTTTTTGTTTTCTTGTTCAAGTCTTCCAAGATACACAGAAGAAAAATCGATTGTACTCTCGAAGCCATTGAATCAAGAAATATCAAAAATTGGAAAGACATTTTGTAATTAAAAATAAAATAAAAATACAAGAAAAGAAAAGAATGAAGTGACTCCAACATGAATGAAGTAATTAAGGAGATTTATCGCTTATATATATTAGAGGGAGAGTTGCTGTAGAGAATTTTGCAAAGCTGAAGAGACTGCATGCCAACCCTCCTGTGAAGGGTGTACATCATCCCAAAAGAATGCAGATTCAGGATCTTGACATACTGTATACTTGGCCACACCATTTTCATCTTTCTCTCCACACAAGTCTTTTGTAGTTATACCCACGCAGCATGGCTTCAATGGATTAACATACTTCAAACTTCCTGTTCAGTGCATCAAATGTTCTATTGTTATTAGTTGGTAAATGAAAAATTATGATTTTTAAAATCGGATCGGACCGGATGGTTGGATTAGAAAAATTAGGCATCGGTCAGGTGATTGATTCCGTTTTACCCCAAAACTGTTATTTTGCCAAAAGCTATTGATTTGGTTAGAAAACTGCTGATTTGGGTGGTCAAACCATTTGAACCGCCCAATGGTTTTGGTAGTTTTTATTTTTTGTCAGAACGGGCTGTTCATTTGGTTCGAACAGTCAGATCATTTGACCCGAGAAGTGGACTCTGACCAATTCATTGTCCGGTTCGATTTTAAAAAGCTATATATAAATAGAAGAAGTTGGAAAATAGAAGTTGGAAGAAGTTGGACTCTGAAATATATAGATAGAAGAAGTCCTGATTTACTATAGAATTTTAGATTGGCCAACAAGTTGGAAAATATAAGTATAATATAAAAAGCTATATATATAATATATAAATAATCAAACCAATGTATTGAGTATAACCATGGAAGGCTTTGTGCTTTGAGGCTTAATTAAAAGTATTTTGGCTTCAGATTATAATTCTTTTAATAGAAACTCCTACAGAAATCACAAAAGTAGGAAGGTCATAGTTTTCTTCTTGGTTGTTCAGCTGTCTTCTTAGTTGTTTAACCTCCGGCTAGAGAGGTTGTTGAGCCTTATTATTAAAGATATATAAATCATCATTCAAACAAGTATTTCTAGTCAAAGTAGAGAAATCACCTGGATGATCTTTCTGTCTCTCAAATGTGGAGATGAATGCGTTATAGAGATCAAGAATTATGAATGTGGATTCGTTGGTCTCGTTATTCAACTTCTCCACTGCTTGCTGTAATAAGAGGTTGTGGAAGATTGATATCTTGTTATTTGTTTCATTGCATTGTTGATAAGAAGACAAGACTGAGTTTGCGGGAAGACATCCGAAAGGCTCAACAGCTGTAACTGCTACTTTCTTCACTCCCATGTCATGAATGCGCTTCATATTTATAGCTAGTTGATTAATGATGGATGCAGTGAAGTTCGACAAACCCTGCCATCAATGAGGTTAGTAAAAAGTATAGAGGTCTCGATGTCAATAAGTATATTTTCGAATTTCCTTTTCTTCTTCGATCGTAATTTCAGAACTAGCTTGAAATAGTTGGGTTTGGTCCGTTGGCATTAGCTTCAGGACTAGTGCTTTTAAAATCCAACAAAACACAAAGTCCCAATTTCAGGATCGGTGTTGGGGCTTAAATGATTTTGGCTTAAGAATGGCAACGGGATGGGGATCATATATAGTCCCCATCTTCGACTCCAACTTTGAAACAAGTCCCCATCCCCAATTCTGACCCTTATTGATGATCAGCTCTCTATTGGGAATCCACATCGCTGAAATTTTTTACATATATTTACTTAAAATAAAAAAAAAATTAAAATATTATCTAGGACCAGGCCGGGGTGAGGACTCCACTCCTCATCCCTGCCAAGACAATCTTCCATCTCCAACCCCATCGAGTCAGGGAGGCTGCAGGAAACAATCTGTTGCCAAACAACACTACGGCTCATTTGTGGTCTGAAAGATCAAAAGCAAAATCTTATCCAAACAGAGCACTAATTAATTGAAGTAGGTTGGAGAAATGGATCACCTCTGTGCTGCCATTCCTGGCAGAATAAGTGGTATAATCGTTTCCAGCAAGAGATACAAGAGCAACGGATGAATCTAGGTCAAGCTTGCTGTACACTCCATCGTGGATGAGCTGTTGAAAGAAGTCGATTTGCTTGGTCATGGTGATGTTTCGGTCAGGAGCAACCACCGTATCAAACACACCAGTCCCTCCAAACGCAAAATTTATTCCATATGGACCATATCTCAGTCGGTTTGCCTCCATTTTCCTCCATTCTACTGGAGTCTTGATTCCAAGAAAAGAAGCTGTATAATATAGTAAATTTTATAAAATATATACATAAATGGAAATTCAAGAAAATTCGTTGAACAACATCAGATTCAGTTCTCACAAAATTTGTCTTCACACCATCCTCGTTTGAAACATCTCCCTACATATACATTTTTTATTCATGGAGAGAGATTCCAAATGCTCAGCTGTTTAAGTGCTGTGAGTACGGTGTGAGCACAAATTTTGTAAGAATTGAATCCGAATTCAGATAGACCTAATCCCAGCCTTATAAAGTAAATACGCAGAACCAATTTCCAACCAGACCTATAATCAGAACCATCAGGTATGACCCAATTATAATCGATTCAGTTCTGGGTCTAATATTTCAGTTCCAACTGATAATGAGTCAGAACTGGTCCATCCTGTCCCATTAAACAAACAGTTCTTTAGGAAAGATCTATATATTAATCGAGATAGTCGGATCTGACGCAATTATGCTACTAATTGACATCTTTGATTATAGGCATGATCCTTGCTTCCTACTCAATCAAAAACTTGTAATCTTCTTCCTTCTCTGATTATGAAAAGAGAAGGTGCTATTCTGGGAATTCTGATTTGAAAATTAAGAAAAAAACCGAAAAATAATACGCTTAATAGAAGGAGAAAGAAGGAAATCTGAAATAACCTTTTTGAGTGATTTAGATAGGAAATTGATTAATATGAAATCTAAGGTAAATATTCCGGTTCAACTATTCATACTTACTATACGGAATTAACGGTCCATTATTCGGATTTTATTGTATCAGTTGCTCGTATAGCAAAAAAAATTTAAGCAATTTTAGAGAGAGAGAGAGAACCCACCTACGTAGTCCGTTAGAACCCGGCCATCGGAGAAACGGCCGGCTGGTTTTCCGGGAAAAGTTATACCGTAAGGTACCTTCCAGGACCTAGCTACAGGCTTCTGATTATTCCCGGTGTCAGCATAAGAGTCACCGAAGACAAAAAGCTTGGACAGGCGGCCACCAAGTCGGCGGTGGTGGTGGTAGTAATGAGGTGAACTTTGAACTACTTGAATTCCTGTAAATTCACGAAATTAAACTAGAATAGCTTCAATCCACTGAAACAACAGAAAATGGCAGAAGCTTTGTTCAGAATGCATAATTATCGTAGAAGGAGAACACAGTAAACGCAGCTGCGTTGGCATTACCTGTCAGAATAAAGAAGAAGAGTAGATGAAAGACGGAAACGTGCCTCCATTGATTCTCCATGAATGGAAATTCAGAATCAATGGAGATAGAGTTGCCGAATTAATTTGAAGGCAAGAGGGAGAGTCTTCTTCTTTATAGATTTTCAATTTGAAGGCCTTCTTATTTATACATGATTTGGCTCGTATGAACTGACTTTTGTTCATTGAGTTAATACCGCCTTCATTGTACAGGAACGAGGAAGTGTCCTTATCATCCACCATGAATTAAACCAGACCGTTTCCTCTATTATTATATAATAGGAACAAAGTTACAAAGGAATACAGTGTAAAACCTTGTATTTTATATTATTTTGTATGTATTTACATTGTACACTCTTTCCAAACTGAGCCAAAAGTCTTTTGGTTGGATGTGATATTAGTCCTATAAAGCACGTGCAAAATAGATACAATATTACAATTCAATTCATGAGAGGGCATTTGGTTTATAGTCGGAATCAAAATCCATTGGAATTGAAACGGTCTATTCCCCTACCTGTTTGGTTGAAACAGGATTTGAAATCACAACCAGTTGAAATTAAGGCTCAGTTTGGAAAAAGTATAATGGCAAATATGTATAGTATAAATACATACAAAATATAAGATTTTGCACTCTAGTACTTCCAAACTCGGCGTAATGGTTTCTCTATTTTATCCCAACAAATATTAAAATTGGAATGGAACATTTCCAATTCTAATTCCAGACCCATAATCATGCAAAGCAGTCCCTATGTATGGGAATACTGGGTAACCATGAAATGCCACAACAAAATAAAAATCTATGTACCGTGTATGGATAACAGTGATTATGGGCTGTACTGGATCGGGCCAGTACTGTTATATCACACATAATATGTGTGTACATTTTATTGTATACAAGGTTCAAAAAATCGTTACATATCGTATCGGGCCCTTCTTGATACAACGGCCTGATTCAGAGGATAGTCGGGACTTAAACCGGTTCCTTTGAACCAAAATAAAACAAAAATAAGTAAAATATAAAAGAAAAAGGATCGATACTGGCCGGTGCGCCCTACCAACGTATTGGCGAATATCGATACTTTGAACCTTGATTGTATATATTGTTTATATTATATAATATGTCTTAACTTGTCGTATTATAATATTTATATATAAAATATAAAATATAAGATAAAATAATATATATATATATATATGTATACATAATATGTATGGTTCAAAGCTGAACAAAGTCAAAATTACAAACTTGCTATTGTGCAAAATTAGTATATTGAACAAGCACATAGACTGCTTAGTTAAAAGAACTAGATGTATAAATAAGAATAGTAGATTTAAACTCATCTACTATTGATATTAAAGTAATAAACTATTGATGATGATAATAATGGTGATGACAACGACAATAATGAAAACTATTGTTCTTATCTAATGGTGACCAATCATTCGTAAAGGGCCCAATTGGAAGGGTAATCTTTAAATGGATAGTTGTATCAACTTAAATGGATTTTTTCCAATGAAAAGCAAGTGGGTCCACACGTGACCCAAATACAGTTACATGTTAGGGAGGGACAAAACCCATGCAATACAATAAATAATTAATAAAAATATAATTATTTATAAAGTCAAAATTCATTTAAGTTCAATTTAAAACATAAAAAAATGATAAAAATTTATCTAACAATTAATTATAAATAAAATAAATTTGTCTTTTTTTTGGGTATCACCTAGTGCATAACATAACAGGAAACATGGAATGGGGACAGAAAAGGGTGCATACAAGGTCCACTGATCTAAGTGATCTAATCTCATGGCGAGATATTTTCAAAATGCAGCTGGATGCAGCTCTCAATATGTATTCGCAACGTTTTTGCAATCAGGAAATCCCATCTTGATCACCATTTGTCAACATTATAATTTCATGGAGAAACGATGAATAAGAGATAGCGATGTTCAGCTGGGTTAATGCTCTCAGAGCTTTATTCAAAGGGTTTCTGCTTTCCAAAAATCCACAAGCCAATCCAAGCAGGCTTGATTCATATTTGTCAAAAATCTTAAATGCAGTACCCCCTTCACAAATTAAACAAAGTCAACTTTATAATCGCAGAGAGAAACAAGTGATTCGTTTAGAGACTATGGATCACAAAATAAAATATAATATTTAAGGTCTTCATTTGACCAAACACTCAATTTAAAGCATGCCCTCATTCTTAGGGTAGTAAGATGTCAAATGTCACGCGCATTTATGTATTAATTAATTCAAAGGCCAGCATATATATATATATTTGGTAGATCTCTGGCTAAAGCTTAAGCTTACCCAATGACCTCAATTCAACTTTCCACACGGAACTATTCAACATGCCACATGAGGTGCTTAGGGTATCATAAATGATGGAGAAGTACTATCAGTTTTGTTAGAGTTAGCACGAGTTCATATTTTAATTAAATTAGTCGGAAGTTATTCTTGCTGCCAAATGTGAAACTGAGGGAAACTTGAGATAAGAAGTATGTTAGAGGTTTTGGCAGTTATCTAAGGGTCTAAACAGGTAACAGAGGTAACTTAGAGCTTAAATTCCGGTGTGTATTACCTCAATGTGGGAGTCCCTTTTTATAGTCAAAATTGTCTGAGAAGAGTAGTTGGGAGTAGGTGGCGGCGATTGGCAATGATTGGTGATGGGTGGTTAAGATACGTCCGGCCGACGCCATGTGTTAGGGTCCGCAAGATGGTCAGGATACGCCTGGCTGACGCCACATGTCAAGATCTGTGGGTCGGCCAAATACTCCTACATTGCTTGCCCCCCACACTCGAGGTCGTAGCGATTGAGGTTGTTTGGTGGGTTGCATTGAGGCCTCAGCTGTAGAGCTCTTCTCAGCGTCTAAAGGCAACTGCTCCTCTATTCACCCTTTAAGTCAGTAAAGAACCATCTCAGGCCGAGGGGTTGTGACCGTGGCTTGTGTGGGTGTAGGCTGTCCATGCTCATTGTTCTTGCCTCGCACGGGTGTTGATATCTCCCATCAGATGTTCGTACGTAGGACAGACACCGTATGTCCATACGTAGGACAGGTATCAAGGTCGACTAAATGAGGCCATGCACGAGAAGGTGCAGCGGGTCCGGTTTGACGTATCCTTGAGCCAGAGTCAATGGACGAACCAGCCCCGTCTCTTGCCATCATTTCGTCTCTCGAGTTGGGTTCGAGCTGTTATAGAGCACAATTTTTTAGTGGAAATTTTTATTTACTATTCATGCATAATTTCCATATTCTAGACAGAATATCTATTAACTAGTTGATTTTGATGAGTAATCTATTTTGTTTGTCATACCGTATCAACACTAAGTTTATTTCTTTCTTATAGTTTCTTTTTCCTGCTTAGTTTGTCTATTTTTCATAATAATAGCATGTAGGACCTCTTTCTTTCTTTGCAACATGTTTCTTTTTGTTATATTTTTCGTTTCCATTCTGTGTGTTTTCAATTTAACGAGATCAATAAACATGGTAATGCAAAATTTTCTTTTTCATTTTAGAGACATACCAGTGTAACTACCATTTTAGGTGAAGTACTTATGCGTTTGGATTATTTTATACTAAACTCAACTTAACTAACCCTATTTGATTCGAACTATTTGTCCCTCAGTACACAAACCCTATTTGTTCCATGCACCAATACATAGATTAGCTACCCTATTTTATGTTTTCATTCAAACCCACTCTATGTCCTCTTCCAAATCAAATGTCATTAAACATTGTTCATTGTTTGGCATGCTAATTTTACAATTTGAGATCTGTTCATTGTAGTTTTGTTATGGTGGGCATTAGGGGCAGAGCGAGGAATTGTTTGTAAGGGGAGCCAAAACCTGAAGTGAATTGGAATGAGGAGAATAAATATGGATGGACCCATGGGAGGGCAACCATTAGGGTGGGGAGTGGGGATCTTGTTGGAAGGAAGCTCACTCAACTCATTTACTGAACACGCTTATTTGCTTCAAGTTCTAGTTGTCACTATGCATATCATAGAATTTAAAATTATTTGTTGTGAATGCTTTCACTGACCACATGCTAATGCATATAGCCACATATGTTTAGAGCTCATGGGATTAGTTAAAACCTTTACAACCTCTACAACTCTAATTCCTTGGTCAACTCCATTCTCTGCTTATTCATCATCATCTACTCTAGCTTTGATTTCTCTACTTTCTCATACACTTCTCTACTTCATTCGTCAAGTCACCCAAGTTGGTCCACTCCCGCTATTTTAAATGAGGTTGTTGCAATGATCTGTAAAAGACATTGGGGTAGTCCAGATTATGTATTGTTGTCAAGATCAGATCATCTATGTAGTCGAAGAAAAGTCATTTGGTTTGGTGATGACACAAGCGATGCAATGGTCATAAATTCATAACTAAGTCATATAAGATAGTAAGAAAGCTTGTGAAGCATTTAACGACTACAAGCTAATGCATAGTCGATGATAAACATATAACTTTATCGATAATGGAAATGTAATACAAAGTTTAACGTCAACCTAGAAATCAAACTATTTTCCTTTTTCGGTGGTGGGTTAGTGGTTTGGGTCAAATTGATTAATCGATGATCTGATAGTTAAAAAATAAAAAAATACAAGTAATCAAAAGAACGTTTAAAAAATTTTATATTAATTATGTCAAACAAAAATTAAGTGTGATAAGTAAAAGTTATTTATATAATATAGATGAAATATATAATTTAAAACTTATGTGAAAAAAAAAGCTATTTTCTTATCTAAATGATGGGTCAATGATCCAACTTTTCAAAAAAAAAATTAATGATGTTATAATTGAATAATAAATATTTACAAAAAAGATAAAACACAAAAAAATTAAAAAGTACAGAATTTTAATTTGTCGAAAATATTTGGGAGCATTCCTAATGTTATGCATTCATCATATTAAATAAAAATTATTATTAAAATAAAAATTATTTTTATTTATGATAGAAATGGAATACAAAGTTTAATAATAATAATAATGATGATGATTGTCATTGTAATTTAAAATTTCTACGTGCAATGCATGTGCACATTTACTACAAACATTTAAGTTTATTTTTAATCATATTGTTAATTTTCAATTTTAATTTTAATTATGATATATATAAAATTCAATAATTAATATAAAGAAAATTTTCTAATATGCAACACACGTGCTTAATTATTATGAAGAAAACTTTCTCACATACAATGCACATTCTTAATTACTAGTCCTATTTGAAATTAAAAAATGAATAGAAGAGAGGATGAAGCAAAATAAAAAAAAAAGAAAAAAAGAAGACAAGAAATGAAAGCATGGAACACCAAAAACCATCATAAGAGTTGGTTTAAAGAAGATTTCAAAACTAAACTAACAGCTTGCCAACCCGCTTGTGTAGGGTGCACCTCGTCCCAAAAGAATGCTGCCTTTGGGTTCTTGCATACTTTATACTTCTTTGCTCCACTCTGATCAATACTTCCGCAAGAGTTTGAGGTGCCAATACCCACACAACATGGCTTCAGTGGATTGTGAAAGCTGAACTTCAGATTTCCTGTACATTAATGAACCACAATTTTACTCTACATGTCAACAACACTTCTAAGACTTAGACCGGACTGAAAACTAGAATGCTCATTATCCCATTCAATTTATGAAAACTGTCATTTAAGCAGGACCGAAAAAGGCCAGCGGTTCCTGGTTTCCATGGTCTGACCATCCGGTCCGTTCCAATTATTACAACATCATTAATGGGAAAACTCTCAATATAATGAATGATCAACTTCCCATTCCATGCATAGTCCTTTCTGGAGATTTTATATTCTACATTTCTGAAGTTAGAATTCAAACCTATTTGTGTAAACTTGAAGTGATGAGATCCAAATATAAGATATTAAAAGAGAATAATCAGTGAAAATAAAGAGTAATTAAGTTCAAAGTAGAGGATTCAACAAGACCTGAGTTCCTTTTCTTGAATACAGACATGAATGCTCTGTAGAGATCAAGAACTATGAATGTTGGGCTTTTCGTCTCCTTGTTCAATTTTCTCACAGCCAGCTTCAGCAAGTGATTATGGAGGTTGGCTGCCGCGTTTCCAGTTATGTTGCATTTTTTGTAAGAAGACAAGACTGCGAATCTAGGAAGACATCCCAACGGCTCAATAGCTATAACAGCTACTTTCTTCACTCCCATTCCATGAATTCTCTTTATATTCAAGGCTGTCTGATTAACCACCTTAGCAATGAAGGCCAGCAATTCCTATATTTTTTAGGAAATTTGGGAAGTTAGCAGGGTTAGCAGCAAATTCTATTTAATTGGTTGAGAGAGAGAGAGAGAGAGAGAGAGGTTCATGATCATCACCTGTTGGGTGTCATTTCTAGCGGAATACGCATAGTCATTGCCGGCAACTGATACCAGAGCAACGGATGAATTGAGATCAGTTTTAGTGTAGACTCCACTGTTGATGAGTTGCTGAAAGAAGTTGATCTGTGTGGTCATGTTTGGCGTTAGCCAAGCAAACATCGTATCGAAGACACCACTCCCTCCACAAGCAAAGTTTATCCCATGAGTTAGTGACTTATTTGGGGCAATTTTTGTCCATCTGTAAGCTATTGGGGTCTTGATTCCAATGGAGGAGGCTGTATGTTGCAGTCAAATGAATGAAAAAAAAGTTATGAGAAGATATCCAAAAAAGGAAACCAGAAAAATCTGCAGAATGTAGAAACTCAACATGTCTCTTGAATATTTTGTTCATTATTTTTGCATCAATTTATTACTTTAATTTCAGAGTGTTTCATATAATTATAAAAAATAATTCTACTTATGACTAGTTAATCGAGTCATAATTCACAGCAAAACTCAATTCCATGATCTTCTACGTTGAGTCTATGATCTTGTTTGAGTAATATATAAAAAGGGGGAAGCAACGGAACCAAAAAGCAAGTACAGAATATTCAGGGGATCGTTTGGGTGAGCTTACTTTGGAATTGCTTTAATTACTGTTGTAGGTAGAAAATAAAATACCCTCATAATTCACATTGGAAAAAAAAGAACACCTTTGAACATTAATGTGTTTAAGCTGAGGGTGGTCCACTACTAATACTTTGAGGCTATGTTTGGTTTTGATAGGAAAATAAGAAATGAGAACAAAAGCTGAAGAAAAGTTACCAAACTTCGTACGCTCGTGAAAAAATTCATTAGTTTGGAAGGAATACAAATACAAATATGTATTGTAAAGAACATTGTATTTTGTATGCATTTGCATTCACATTTATATTTGTACTCCTTCCAAACTAAGCCTAAGGTTCCATTTGGAAAGAGTGCAAACATTGGTTCGGTACATATGTTCACTCTGATTCAGTTTTATAGGTGTTTGAGAAGAATGCATGCGAGTATTGAAAATGACAGCAAATAAGAACTCCAAGACAAGTTTGCATTCAAAATGAGAGCAAAGTTTGCATCAAAAAAATGGATGCAAACTTTTACATTCAAAGTTGGTCAATGTATAAAAGGTAGATTCCATTCAGGAATTCCATTATTTGGCAAGAGCAGTCATTGCAAAACTAAACCAATTATGCATTTTTATGAACCAGATATATTTGTATTTGTACTGAACATTTTTGTATTTTCACCTTTCACAAATGGAGCCTAATTTCACTGGTTAATGGGGCGGTTCTATAGCTCATTTTGGCCAAAAGCATCAGTTAATTGGGACCTGCTGCCCTAGTAGGTCACCCAGTCAGCTACCCGGCTGTCCAAGTTTGACAACAATGTCAAAAGTTTTGGTTTTTTGGTTACTAGTGTAAGAGCATGTGTATGCAAGTATTAGGTATATTAAGTATTAATTATATATGATATATGATAATCGGATTATTATAACTTGTATAATCTTCATGGAACCCAATCCAAAAAAATGTATCCACTTTATATAGCAGAGATGAATCTCTGAAGAATCATCTTTTGTGAAGGGTTCTGATCTATACTCACCTGCACTAGACCCATTCAATTGAAATCACTGAAATGAGAAATCTCAATTCATATTAGAGAGAAGGGCTCATGCAACACACTCAATATAAGGTTGGTGATCGGGAAAGAAATGATAGGTCCTTGTGGGGTTCACCATTTTTATAGTGTGTTGCATTGCATGTGGATAGGGATGCAAATGTATCAGATTGGATTTGAATTAGGATATATCTAAATTCTATTCGATCTGTTTCGAAGATCTGATCGGATTTTATAAATACTGGTTCAAATTCGAATCCAATCAGGATGTCAGACATCTGAATCTGATCCAATTCGATTAAAAAACAATAATAATAATAAATAATTAAAAGGAAAAGGAAAAGAAAAAAATAACAGTTTAAATAAAGAAAACAAAAAATACAAGTATTTTTGAAACAATTTTCATCATCATCATATATATATATATATATACATGTTGCTTATAAAAAATTAAAAATGTAATATAAATAACATATTTATAAATTATATACATACATACGTGTATATATATATGTATTTATGTATATATATACTTTCCAATATGATAAGATGTAATCGAAATTTGATCCAATTTTTAATCATCCGAATATCTTATGTGATTCAATCTAAAAAATCCGAAATTACTTGGCTGGCCAAAATGGGCCACAAATGCAATACGCACTTTTTTTCAAAAAGCGCTTAAAAAGTCAAAATTTTGAATCGAACCCTTGTTCAAAACAGGCTTGTGAAGCAGAAAGATCTAACAGTAAAAAACTTTGGTAGCCTACGTCGTAGCTTCTTCAAGAGTTAAGAGCAGGTAGAGGACTAGAGAGATCGCTGCACAACTGACCTACAAAATCGGTAAGCACCCGACCGTCGGACCAACGGCCAGATGGTTCACCGGGAAATGAGATCCCATATGGTTGATTCCAGGATTCTGCAAATTTGGGGTTATTCCCAGTGTCAGCATAAGAGTCTCCAAAAACGAAAAGCTTGGAAGGACCGAGTCGGTGGTGGTTACGACGATGACGATGATGACGATGGTGATGATGATGATGAGATGAACTCTGAACCACTTGAATTCTTGCTGCGATATAAACACATTAGTTAACTCTATTTTATGGACAGAAACAAATTAATAAGAAAATCCAGCTCATCTATTTTCTAATACCAGCCAATAGAACCCAAAAGAAAATTATATGAAACAACAGAATGTACTTCCTTCGGCTTCCCATGTGAGCTAACAAGCTAGAGAGAGAGAAAGAGAGATCAACTGAACCTAGCTGCCTAGCTAGACATGCATGTACGTGATATACATGGGTGGTAGGGCTTGTGTCTAGTAAGGAGTCCGAATTGTTGGGTTTGTTTTTAATAGATGTAGTAGTCCATGCAAGTGGTTAAGAAGAAATAGGGGTCGTGGCTACATTTGGGGAGTTGGTTTTGGAGTCGGTTTCGTATTTTGATTTGAGTGTTCAATGACTGAAAGTTCCAGCTGCAAGAAAGTAGAAGTAGGCAGAATTTATTTGGAGTGCGAAATTCATTTTCTCTGCTGTAAATGCAGGGGATTGCAAATGGACTGAGCGCATATTCTGGTTAATTTTTGCGTTAGGTTTGATTTTATCTTTATTTGTGAGAAATAAAATAAAATGTAAGATGGTGGGGCCGGGCCCTAATTTATGTACAGTTGAATGGAATTATGTTAAAGAGAAAGGGTCCACACACTTTATTGGTATAGAACGCTGACATATGTATTCAGTTGTGCCCGGATGGTGTCGTTTGCTCAAGAGGAGTAAGGTAAGACATGACATAGTATCCATTTTATACAAGAGAGAAGGTGATACAAATTTTGTCGTAAGTTTATAGATGCAAAATTTGTCAATGAAATGAATACAATTGAGATAAAAAGTGTAAATTATACCACAAAAATATAATGTTGGGAAATGGGGTCACAAAAATTTTGAGGAAAAGCGTTGAGGTGTATTTAAAGACATCATCCTTAAAACATTATTTGCCCATACTCAATTTCATGTCATTAGTAGCAAGTTTCTATGCTCTCCTCCCTATAATTCAAGTAGTATAAACAAGATACCTCTTAAATGTTCATGTTAAGTTCAATAAACTTTCAATGTGGGATAAGGCTTGAAATATGAGAAAACAAGGATTTCGATGTAAACTTTAAAACTGGTTTTCAAAGTGCAAGTATCAGTGTTCTTAATTATATAATTAACCAACCAAACACTCGATGAATTTAATTAATGTCTAATGACATTAAAATCCAACATATAATAATGTAAGAACATAAACATGTAAACTGCCTCAAACTTGGTTTAATCCACCGAAATGAACCAAGTCATTGGGCCAGGTCCAATAATCATCCTAGTTTACCAAGCAGTAACTATTTAGAATTAGAATGGATTGTAGTAGTATAAGAACAAACTAGCGGTTAGCAATTGGCCATGCCAGATGACATGACATGATTCCAGGAAGTTCATTCTTCAAAAAAAGATAAAGGAACTACAATCGCTTGGTTCATTAGACTCGTCTGGGGTCTCACCACCATTAGATTTGGCCATTTCCCTTGAACCTGTAGAGAAGCCAGACCACTGTCTCATCCATGCCGATGGACTTACACGTGGACACAATGCTAAATTGAATATAAAATTTGTATCTAATTCAGATTATTTGCACTGCAAATCTTGAAGACTGCTTTCACTAGAAGCAAATTACTTCCCTTTCTCACAGTCACTAATTAGATGAAATTAGAAACAATGGCAAGAGCAGCAAATGCCAAAGGCAACATGGCCGATGGTGCAAAGTATAACACAAAGACAATATAATAAGAGCTCCCTCGTTGTATGCATGTAGGTTAACACCAGTTACACCACTATTTTCTATTCTTTTTCATTCTATGAAACACCACTCTAAAACTGATTTTGATTTTAATACAAAAACCAAAATTACAGTTTTTTCAGTAAGAATACATTTTTCTAGTTTTTTTTTTGTATTGAAAAATGAAAATAAATTTGTTTTCTCAATTGTTTTATACTCAAAATGGAAGAAAAGTTTACTTCTTCGAAGTTGGTCAATGTAAAAAATGTTGATTCCAACATCGAGAAAATTGCGTTTACACCCATCACAATTAAATTTAATACTTCAGATTGTAAGGTTGTGATTGGTTGCAATGCAAATAAATTTGCACTGCTGCGAAACTATGACTGCAAATGATTTGAGTGTAAATTCTGACTTATTTTTGTTTCAAATTTTAGTTTATTTTGTTTGATTGCAGTACAAATGAAGTAAAGTAAGACATAAAATAGAATAAAGTAAAACCTAAAACAAAATTAAATGAGAATTTGCATTTTTTTCATTTGCACTCCCATGCATTTGTACTAATGCAAATAAATTTGCACTGCAACCAAACACACCTAAATACCCTCATCAAAGAAACTTTTTTATTTGTTCATATTAGTAGTTCAGCAAATTAAACCCATACGTGAGGTAATAACTTCACTCTAACTAGTTTTATGTGGAATCCAAATTTCATGGAAAATGTACTTCTAAAGGGGTGTTCGTTTTATAGATTTTGAGAGGGAGAAAAGTTGATCAATGGGATTGTGAATCTCATTGACCAAAAAACCCTTTCTCTTTTTCAGATATATGTAGGTACCAGAGAAAGTTGTTAATTTGTTGGATCGTTTTGATTTCTTATTCAGTTATTATTCTATTTGATCTAATTAATCCAATTCATTTTTGGTGATGGTGATAATATCGGGATTTGGCATGATGCATGGGTGCCTACCTTTCCCGGTTTTACCATATATATCAGCTCAACTAATCCCATTTCTCACAATTCATAGAGGTAGTGGAAATGTATATCTCTTATGGGAGTTGTTTGGGGAATATGTGCCAAAATAGATACTACTTATATATAGGGGCATTAAGAGATGCAGGGAATGGTGGTGATTATTAATCCATTTGGCTCATACATAGCATTGATGGAACCAAACAGCACCATATATAAACATTTTTTCAAAATCACAAAAAAAAAAACGCAATGAACCAAACACCTCCTTAGTGTTTGGAAGGAGAATGAAACCAATTCTCTAATTCTAGCACAAAAAAAAAAAAAAGGAAAAGTCCAACTCATTCTGCCCCACAAAACCAATGGGATCAATATATTAACAACAAAAAAGTATAGAACAATATGCATTGTTAAAACCAATTTCAAATAGAAGAGGAGGATGAAAAAGAAAAACAGAAAACATGGAACACCGAGATTTACTGTTAATGAGACATGGATAGATCTTGATTAATTATTAAACGAATTGGTTCAAAGAAGATTTCAAAGATAAACTAACAGCTTGCCAACCCGCTTGTGTAGGGTGCACCTCGTCCCAAAAGAATGCTACCTTTGGGTTCTTGCATACTTTATACTTCTTTGCTCCGCTCTGATCAACAATTCCGCACGAGTTTGAGGCGTCTATACCCATGCAACATGGCTTCAATGGATTGCCAAACCCAAACTTTAGATTTCCTGTACATTAATGAACCACAACTTTTACTCATACTTGATTATTTAACAATGTTGACAAATTTCAAGCAGCAAACTGGTAGAGTCTGCGATTTCTTGCCCAATTTTGGCTTAAATTGCATTCAACTTTGAAGACTTAATTAACCATTCGATTGATCGCTCGATTGCAAATCGGAACCAGATACAAATTTAGCATCTGATTCAGTTTTGAACCCAACTGTTTGTAACTATGATTTGCAGTCCTACCTGATATAAATTTTGTATATTTTTATTTTTTTTTGTCTCATTTGCACCATTTTCTTTCATATAAAGTGGGGCCAATTCATTTTACTTGTCAGAAAACTATTTGTTAGAATACTAAGGTTGGTTATAACCAACCAACAGCTGTAATCTGCCACGTGGTCATGTGGGCAAAGTCGGTGACTCATCACCTCTCTCTCTCTTTTTATATATATATATATATAATACGAATGAGAAATTTTTGCTCTATTTTCTGTCTCGATACCATTCTTACATGGTATCAAAGCGGCAATCCGCGTCCCCTTGCTTCCTCTGCATTCCTCGTTTCTTTCCTACACATCTTGATCTGGTTTGAGTTCGGTGGTTCTTGATTAAGTCGTGCTTCCTTTGCTCAACGATTCTTAATCCGGTCATCTCCCTGCAACTCTTGACTCAACCGCGATCAGTGCTTTCTTGATTGAGCTATTTCTCTACAACTGTTCTTGCTTTTTTCATGGAGACTGAACACAAATCTCCTTATTTTCTTTCTTCTTCGTACAGTCCAAGAATGATGCTTGTGTCTTGTCCTCTCACCGGCGACAATTATCCCATGTGGCAAAGAGCAATGATCAATGAAAGCAAAGAACAAATTAGTTTTTTGTTGATGGATCTCTGCCAAAACCGGTAGCTGGTGCTCCAGAATTCAGTGCTTGGACCAAATGCAATGCAATGGTCATTGCGTGGATCTTCAACTCCTTAGCAAAGGAAGTTTACAACAGTGTAGCATTCATCGACATAGCAGTAGAAATCTAGAAAGAGCTCCAGGATCATTTTTCATAAGGAAACATCCCTCATATATACGAATTGAAGCGAGACTTGGCACTGCTGTGTCAAGACGATCTCACTATCAGTGCATATTTTACAAAAAAACTTAAGACACTTTGGGACGAACTAATTTCTCTCAGACTCCATCAATTTTTTATGGGTCTCAACGAATGATTTAATACGATTCAATCAAACATTCTTGGCTTTGAGCTTTTGCCTACCTTAAAAAAGGCCTATGCCCTCATAATACAAGAGGAGCGTCACCAACAAATGATGGTTCCCCGTTCTTTGCAACCTTAAGCTGCAACACTCATGGCTAGGGATAAAGGTACTGGGATGTCACGACCAAAACTTCGGTGTGACCATTGCAAAAAAGAACAGCCACACCAAGGATCGATGTTATGCTCTCTTTGGTTATCCTCCAAACTGGAATCGGCGCCGAAATGACAAAACGCCAACTGATGACTCTAATAAAACCACCCGAACTACTACTCTTACAATTATAAATAATACAAACCAACCAAACACATCAATGAATCAGAACTCACCGGTGGTTGCCCTAACTATGAACCAATACACTCAATTGATCTCTCTCTTGAATAGAGAATCAATTGACTTTGCAGCCTCAGTCTCTGCTGGTAAGAATACTACTCCTGCCATTGAATGGATTATTGGCAGTGGTGCTTCAGACCACATGGTGTCAAATGATGCCTGGTTTGATAACTCAGTTACTGTCACACCCACAAGCATCTGTCTTTTAGATAGATCACTGACCCGCACAAATTTGCATGGATCCATCACCATTGGGTCATATATCCTTCAAGATGTTATGCATCTTCCGACATTTCATTGCAATTTTTTGTCTGTAAGCAAGATTACACAATACCTAAATTGCATTGCCATTTTCTTGCCACATTATTGCATTCTTTAGGACCCAGTCTCGAAGACTATGATTGGGACAGGTGAGCTCCACAATGGGTTATACTATTTCAAATTCCACCACTCCACCACCATTGGTCATTCGATTAGTGTTCATCAATCCACCACTATTAGTTCTTCAATTTGGCATATGCGTTTGGGGCACGCCTCTCAATCTCGTTTATCTCTCATTCATAGGATCTCCATTTCTGATTTGAAGCTATGTTGTGATACATGCCATTGGGCCAAACAAGCTCGTTTTCCATTTCCGATTAGTAGCACTCGTAGTAAAGAACCTTTTTCTTTAGTACATTGTGATATATGGGGAGGCTACAAAACCCCCTCTCATTATAGTGCTAGATATTTTCTTACCTTGGTAGATGATAACACAAAATGTATTTGGGTATACCTATTAAAGCGTAAGTCAGAGGCTGGTCAATACTTGATTTCTTTTTGTGCAATGGTCACTAGATAGTTCAATGCTTTTGTTAAACAAATTCGTAGTCATAATGGCTCTAAATTCTTGTCTGGGCCGGTTCAATATTATCTTGCTTCACAAGGGATACTGCACCAAACCTTATGTGTGGACACACCCCAACAAAATAGGGTGGCAGAAAGAAAACACCGTCATCTATTAGAGGTGGCACGGGCATTAATGTTTCAAACCTCCCTTCCCATTGCCTTTTGGGGAGAATGTCTACTCACTACAACCTATATCATAAACCTACTACCCACCCCATTACTATCTAATGTCTTTCCATATGAAGCCTTGTTTCACAAATCCCCATCCTACCATCACCTATGGGTTTTTGGCTGCCTATGTTATGCCCAATTACAACCACGTCCACATGACAAACTTGCCCCTCGAGCCCATCCTTGTGTCTTTGTGGGCTACCCACATGGTCAACGTGGCTACAGAGTTTACAACCTAGAAACTCTTAAAATCTTCACCACAAGAGATGCCATTTTTTATGAGAATCATTTCCCATTCAAGAATTGGCTATTACTTACCCAACCCAACACATCTGTCATTCCTCTACCACCTTTAGACGATTTTGATTACCCTAGCCCACCTACCACCATTGACACTACCCAACACCAAACCCAAACATGCCAACCTCCTATGATTGAACCAACTSAAGCCATCAATCCTACACCCTCAGCACAACTTCAACATAGTCACATTGACACACTTGAACCCACTACCCATCACCCATTGGACTCTCCATCATCACCCATCACTTACCCATGCCACAATACCATTGTCCCTGTTCATCTCCATGACTACATTTATCTACTTTCTCCTTCACTAGCCCAATCCCATCTAGCTTCCCTTCAAGATGAACCCAAGACCTACACCCAAGCAGCCAAAGACCCACGGTGGTGTCAAGCAATGGCCAATGAAGTTGCAGCTCTAGAACAAAACAACACTTGGTCCATTGTACCACTACCTCCTGGCAAGAAACCCATTGGGTCATAGTGGGTCTATCGCATCAAATACAAGGTTGATGGTACTATAGAGCGTTTCAAAGCATGGATTGTTGTAAAAGGTTACACTCAAATTGAAGGCCTTGACTATCATGACATTTTTGCTCCAGTGGCTAAAATCGCCACTATTCGATGTTACTTGCAATTGTAGCCATCAAAGGTTGGGATCTTCATCAGCTAGACGTGAACAATGTTTTTCTTCATGGAGACCTCCATGAAGAAGTCTACATGACCATTCCGCAATGCTTTGGGCATACTTTTCCCAACCACATTTGTAAATTGAACAAGTCTCTTTACAGCATCAAGCAAGCCTCCCAAATGTGGTTTGAGAAATTCACATTGACATTGTCATTGTCATCCTTGGGTTACAAGCAATCACCATCTGATCATTCTCTCTTCACACTTAAGTCCGAATGCTCCTTTGTTGTTGTTTTGGTCTATGTTGATGATGTCATCATTACAGGAAATGACACCACTCACATTTTCRCTCTCAAGCAACACATAGATAGTCTGTTTGGGATCAAAGATTTGGGTCCACTTAAATTTTTTCTTGGACTAGATGTATCTAGATCAAGTGCTGGTATCTTTCTCAGTCAACAAAAGTATGCTCCTGACATCATCAGAGACACAAATATGATGGATTGCAAGTCTTGTTCTACACCCATGGAACCCCAAAGACATTTCACCAACACCTTCAGTCTAGCATATTCAGATCCAGCTCAGTATCGCCATTTGATAGGTTGACTTATCTACTTAATAGCAACAAGACCAAACATTTGTTTTGCTGTCAACTATTTAAGTCAATTCATGCAAGACCCCAAACAAGAACATTTTGATGCAGCTTTTCTTCTCAGCCTCCAGTCCTCTCCAACTCCATGGATTTTGTTATTCTGATTGGGCCAGCTGCCCCCTGACTCGTTGCTCCACCACAGGCTATTTGACTTTACTTGGAAATTCTCCTCTATCATGGAAGTCCAAGAAGCAGCACACTATCTCTCGCTCCTCTACTGAAACAGAGTATAGAGCCATGGCTGTTACTTCTTCTGAGTTAGTGTGGTTAAAGAGGATTCTTACTAAACTACAAGTCAATCTCTCCACACCTACTCTTCACTGTGATAGCAAAGCCGCATTACACATTGCTGCCAATCCCGTCTTCCATGAGCGCACCAAACACATTGAAATTGATTGCCACTTTACCCATAATCTCATCCAACGGGATGAATTGACAACCACTCATGTTTCTACCACGTCACAACCAGCAGATCTCTTCACCAAAGCTGTCTCCACAGGTCGTTTTTTTTTTCTCATTTGTCCAAGTTGGGCATCTAGGCTGCTCCAACTTGAGAGGGGGGTGTTAGAATACTAAGGTTGGTTATAACCAACCGACAGTTGTAATCTGCCACGTGGCCACGTGGGCAAAATCGGTGATTCATCACCTCTCTCTCTCTCTTTCTCTCTCTCTMTATATATATATACATCAATACAAAYGAGAAATTCTTGCTCTGTTTCGATACCATTCTTACACTATTTGCACTACCATGCATTTACGTCAGTACAAAATAAAATTTTCACTACAAACAAATTAAGCCATTGGGAAAATTTTAAAAACGTGGCAAGAAACTCATAATCACACTATAAGAACCATGCCATGAAGACTTGGTTATAAGCATCATTTGAAAAGTTCAATCATGCAGAGTTCTTTGGATGGTTTTAGAAAGAATATTTATATAAATATATTATATAAATGGGATATTAATTTATGTTGATTTGGGTGTATTTCATAAAAGTTAAATCCAAATGTTATATCTGATATATGATTAATACTTTCCTTGCTCTTGTACTAATAACTATGAAAGTGTAAAGAAATTCCCGTGAAGATTTTATATTTTGCACTTTTGAAGCAATAGAAAACACAAATTTACATTCCAAATTTGAAGCCTAAATTCCAAAAAGGTCTTACTCCAATAAATTGAAAAAACATCTTTTCATTTACCACTTTATTAGGACAACAATTTTTCAATTAATAATAGTAGATAAATATATTCTAACTTTTCAAAAAAGTTGATTATAATTAGTGGTGGCAATTGGGCGGGTTGGGTTGGGTTTGGTTTGGGTTGAGTTTCAACCCAATTCATTTAACTCGCCAATCCGTTAATGACCCAGTTATATAAAATTAAATGGATTGGATTCAATCTAAACCCGCTTTAACCCAATCCAATCCGCCCAAACCCATTAATCTTATATTTATGTACTTAAAACAAAAAAACTAACTCCTTTTTAACAAATAAGTTAGTCATATAGTAGTCGCTATTTACACAAGTGGTGAAGGTTCAAATCACATTACATGCATGTTATGCTTATACAAGTAGCAAAGGCTGCAAAGCCATTTATGTTCAGGTTTCGAATTTGACGAACCACATAGGTTCAAGCCAGTCAGACCAACTTGAACTATCTAATTGGATTGTCTTCAAGGTAGTCACAATGAGTTCAAGAGTGGTTGAACCATTTAGATCCGGATCAGTCCAGTCAGACTAGACCCCACCCGAATCGGTTCAATCCGGTTGGATCAGACCAGTATGGTTCAGTTCGGTCGGGATAGACCCCGACCAGGCCGGTTCAATCCGGTCGGACCAGATCGGACTGGTTCAGTCAATGGTTGATTGATTTGGGTCGGCCCATATCAGGTTTGTGCACGGGTTTGGGGCTGAACCGATTGGCCCGAAGCAGGTCAAAAGAATTAAATCGGACCTGGCTGGATTCGGGTCGTGTTGAACAAATATGAACCAAACTGGACAATCCAAACCGGACAAAGCAAGTAGGGTGGTTTAGGGTTCGGACCCCACCCGGTCCGACCCATTTCGGATTCAGGTTGACCCGGATCAGCTTGTGTCGAGTCGAGCCGGACTATGTGAATAATAGTTGGACCGGACGACCCAAACCGGGCAAAGCAAGCGGTACTGAGCCATCCTGTCCGAGGTCTATTTCGGATTCAGGTCAACCCGGATCGGTATATGTTGGATCGGGTCAGATCGCATTGAACTGGTTTGGACTTGGGTCAAATTGATTTGGACTTATGTTGGGTGAAGTGTGTTGATTCAAGACAAAACTAAATTTAGTTAATAATTAATAAAAAATTAATGCATTAATTATAAATTATTTAATTCAAATGAAGAAAAGGCTAAGGAATTAATACTAATGCTTGTAATGATTAACCCAACGGTTATCCACAACCCAACCGATTTAAATGGGCGGATTGGGTGACGGGTTGATCACACAACCTGCCAAGTAAATGAACGGGTTGGGTGAATTAGATACTGGATGGATTGGGTGGATTCAGCGGGTTGGATGAAAAATTGCCACCCCTAATTATAATCAAAATGGATGAAGAATAATTTGTAGAGAAATAATTATTGAAAATAAAGAGTGAGTTAGTTCAAAGTAAAGAATCGTGACCTGAGTTCTTTTTGTCGAATGCAGACATGAATGCGCTGTTGAGATCAAGAAGTATGAATGTTGGGCTTTTCGTCTCATTGTTCAACTTTTCCACAGCCTGTTTCAGCAAGAGGTTGTGGAACCTCACAGCCGTGTTTTGAGTTTTATTGCATTGTTGGTAAGAAGACAACACTGTGCTTTGCGGAAGACACCCCAATGGAAGGAGAGCTATGACTGCTACTTTCTTCACACCCAGGCCATGAATGCGCTTTAGATTCAAAGTTGTTTGATTCACCACTGAAGCAATGAAGGCTGGCAAGCCCTATACTTGTGGAAAAAAAAGTGACAAAGCTAATAGAATTTTCTATTTCATTGATTGATGAAAGCACTGAATTGGCACCATATACTCTTGCTAAGCTCATTCTGAGGCAGACTGAAGGCCAAGCCTTGGGCCCAAAAGGCCAGGGTTGCTATCAAATAAAATTCGCACTTAGGATTTAGGATTGCTATCTCAAATTATATATATATATATATAACATAACCTGCCAACAAAATATGTTCCAACAAACTACCAACATTATCTGACACTGTAAATCTTATACATGACGGGTCCCACTGTTTTAGTGGGCAACTCCATGAATTGGGCAAGCTGCATATATTGGATACTAAATTGGCCTATTGGGGCTAGCTACCCATTACTAGTCATATATATAATATAGTAAGTTCCCTAGAATTTGGACCATAGACCCTGGTAAATACTGTACCACGACACATGTTAAGTTGTTAATAAACCAAAAACTTGGACACCTAAACATTAGCTAAGAAAAGAATAAGAAGAAAAAAAAAATGGTTCTTATTAGTTATAAAAGATCACCTGTGCAGTGCCATTTCTAGCATTATAGGCACCATAGTCATTGCCGGCAACTGATACCAGAGCAACAGATGAGTTGAGATCGCGTTTACTATAGATTCCACTGTTGATGAGTTGCTGAAAGAAGTCGATCTGTGTGGTCATGTTTGGCTGAGAAACCAATGTATCAAAGACACCAGTCCCTCCATAAGCAAAGTTTATCCCATGACTTAGAGACTTTGGGGCAAATTTTATCCATCTATAAGGCATTGGGGACTTGATTCCAATGAAGGAAGCTGCAAAGTGCAGTCAAATGAATGAGAAAGAGAATTTTTGAGAAGATATCTAGAGAAGTAAAACGAGTGATGGCATGGATTATGGTGCTAGAATCTGTCCAAAGGCTATTTGGTAACAGCTGAAATGGCTGAACTGAATGACATTTTGTTTTGTCTCTTAGTGAAAAGTCATTAAAGTGTTTGCAAGCTCCTCAGTCCCAATCTGAAGTTGAGTTAATTACTATATCTTCAAAAATTTTACTATTTAATTATTTTATCTACTAGAAAACAAAAAAGTCATTCAGCCATTTAAGTTATTATCAAACGGCCCCTTGGATTGTTGAAGGCAAAACCCAATTGGAAGCATACAGAAAAATGTCGGTAAAAAACGGATTTGTGCACTCTTTTGACCCTAAAGACATAGTGGGATCCACGATATAAGGGAAGATAACATTACGAGAAAAAGTTGAGTATATCTTTTCATGGGCCCCACCTAGGGCAATAAGGCCAGGAATTGCATGTCATAATTCAGTAACATATCTCTAAAAATATTCTATGGAGAAATTAATTAAAAAGCTTACATTGGAATGGTTTTTATATCTTGCACAAGCCAGAAGATTCATGGAGAGTGTTGTATTTTATTTTGAATGAAGAAGTTGTGATCAATGTGAAGCCTCCTCCCAAATAAGGGTGTCACTGTATCGGTTTTGGATTGGACCAGTTCAGTCCCAAATCAATTTGGATGGATTAGATGGATCAATAAAACGTATTGAATTGGATCAATTCAGTTTAAAATATTTATTAAATTGGATTGGACCTGGTTCATCTGTAACAAATTTATATTGGATTGGGTTGGATTAAGCTAATATCTGGTCTATTGATATAAGATAAGAATATATGTGTCAATGAACCAAATTTAGGTTGAAACCAATCTAAATCAAAATGAATTTGAACAGATGGGATGGTTCAAACAATAAATTGGATCAATCCAAATTGGTTCAAAACATTCATTGGATTGGATTGGACCTGATCCATTTATAATGGACTCACACTGAACTGGATCGAATTGGACCAAATCCAGTCCAATTAACACACCTACTCCCAAATCAAGTTTCCAGATGTTCTTAATTTTTACATTATTATTTAACTTAGAAGTTAGAAGAGTCAACCTGGAACTAAGCTGGATTGGTTCAGTATTATTAGATTTCAAGTGCCATGCATAGATTGATTTTGATTTTACTATTAAGTAAGAAATCGACAGTGTTAAAAAAAAATGAAAAAAAGCTCAACTTGATAGATCAATATTTTTTTATTATCTACATCAATTTATTACTTTCATTTGGCAATTCTGGCCCCACTTAGAACAGTGTTTTACATATTCTAATGACCTTGCCAATTGAATTTGAATACTAAAATAAGGAAGAAGACCCAAAAAGCAAGTAAACAATAATTGGGAGATTGTCTAGATGAACTTTCTGGGAAGTGCTTTTATGTTGTAGGTAGAAAACTAATAAAAAAGAAAGAAAGAAGAGAAAAAAATGGTTAGGTAAAGTATCATATTCAGAAGTACTTTTTTTAAAAAGAATAAGATAAATGTTAAATCTGACTTTCAAGGTAAGAACAAAGAACAAAGATCTGCTTGCATCCTTGGGGCTTACAAGTGTACACATGTCCATCTAACAAAAATGTAAGTATAGGTAATACAGTACCTTATCAATCACATGAGAAAAGATACCAACACTTGACATGAACAAGTGTAAAGGCAGTAGCTAGTGCTAATTAAGGGTGCAACTTGGATTAACCATTTGGAAAAAAACAAAGGGTTGAATTTGTTTAGGGTTAGGGTTGAAAGAGACAGATTTCATATAAAGTAGGGGTTGGATGCAATGCAGACTGACCCGACCCAAACTATAAGGAAAGATGTTTATACCAGAGGTGGAGGGCAGATGATGATGGGTGAAGAGTGATTTATTATAAATTATTGCTATTATATGATACTCATGCATCATTTTTATATACACTGTGTGTGTGCATGAATAATTGATTATGATAGTATTTATTTATGCGTGTTTCTATATTTGGACCCARCTTGAACCCAACCTAACCAACCCGATTTAGATGGATTAGGTTTGCCAATCTCGGATATCAGATCAGGTTGAGTACTCAGGGGGGTCAGGATTGCTGTTTCAATGCATTGGGTTTGGCTAGAGTTAACCTAACCTCAACCTAAACCAATTTGGCCCAACCCAATCCAAGTTGTACCCTTTGGTGACAGTAGATCTTTGTCCTTATTCTTCAGAGCAGGATTATTATAGATATCCTTTGACATGCAACCGTGTAAAGCCAAAGGTGCAAATCTGTCATGATGATAGATAAAGATATTTTGAGAAAAGAGAGAAAATAATTGTCGGTAATAAATGGGCCCTTATATGGTAAGATCCAAATATTCAATCAGCCCAATTAGCTCCAGACTCTATATAGTTTGGGCCTGGATCTGGTTTTGGTGTTTTCCAATCATTTTGGTTCAGAATTGATTAACCCTAAAGAGATAAGTGCACATGGAATGCACTCTAGATAAGGTGGGTAGTAGGGGAAGACACGGTGGGTATAGGGTATTTATGGAGCCCACCGTGTCTGTGGTGGGCTACACATGGTCCTAGCCTGTTTGGAAGCATTCTCTTTTTTCAAACAAAGGAAAGAAAAGAAAAGAAAATTTGTGCAATTTTACAATGGTGCATTCAGTCGTTCACCCAAGGTTGCTCAAAACTTCAAAGGAAAAGGCAAACAAAACAAAAGGTGGTGGTCCAATGGAAGCAAAGTTAGCTTCTCTACTGCTGTATAGGGAATGACAGCAACTCGCAAGATTAAACTTAAACCCAAACCCATTATTCTGTAATGCTTATTAATGATCTTGTTTCTTACAACCTTCCATATTTTTTGGCCTACTGATCTTGTTTCTTTTGTTCAGTGTGGCTGGCCTGAGATTGTATCATTGTATGTCCGGCCGACACTATTTTAATGAATATTCTCACCAGTAACAGATCAGAAAGAGCTTTTCTTTTTCTTTCTTCAACCTTCTTGCGCTGGATGAAATATACAGTAAAGATGCAAAGCTAGGATTCCAATAATGATCATTCATTCATGAGAGAGAGAGAGAGAGAGACTGACCTACATAATCAGTCAGGACCCGCCCATCAGACCAACGACCGGACGGTTGACCGGGAAATGTGATCCCATATGGTGGATGCCACGACTTGGATACAGATTTGGGGTTGTTCCCGGTGTCGGCGTAAGAGTCTCCAAAAACGAAGAGCTTCGAAGGACCGGGCCGGTGGTGGTGATATGATGAACTCTGAACCACATGAATTCCTGCTGTGACATCACAGAATTATGGAGCATTAGTAGCGATGTCCGACGGACAAAAAACCAGGAGGAGAAGAAAATCCCGGCTCTGTACCAGTCAGAAGAACAAAAACCGAGAAAAATAGATGAAACAACATAGTATGCTTGTCTTGTTTCCCCATGCGAGCAGAACTGCACTGCAGAAGCGTGGAGAGGTAGAGAGAGAGGGG